TTTAAAATTTTTCATAAAAATCTCGAAACAGCTAAAAGCGATTGTGCATTTTTTGCAATCAAAATTCTTTTCGCTAATCAATTTCATGATTGATACAGCTTGGCCATTCGACATTTTCGTCTAAACAGCAAACTCTGAAGAAGAAAAAATACATTTAAAGTTAAAGCAAGTTAGAGGAATTCTTTAAGAAAAAACTCAGAAACGGGCTTTTTATAGAATCTCATTATTGTGATTGAGTTATCGAGAATTGACAAAGTAAATAACCCAAATCTAGCCTAAAAACGTGGTTTTCTAGTAAAATGCTTTGAAGTAATGTTATACATAGCACAAAGTAAAAAAAAAACAACTTTTTAAATCAATATGAATCTAGAAGAAATTTTTAAGAAAAAAAAGCCAGCTTAACACCTTTCTACAAAAAGTTTTTCAGTTTTTGAGTATAAATTCTGTTGATAACACTTGGTGAATGAGTGATGAAGAAATTCATGCATTAACTATGGATTACAAAACAATAAAAACGTAAATCATTGCATTTTATCAAACAAAATAAAAGTTTTTAATTGTCATAACGGAATACGGAATACGCATAGAGAAAAGAAAACGTTGAAATCGAATCGAATGGTACATTTTTAGTATAAAAACCACGTGATGAAGATCCAGGTTGATCAGGATCAAAACCGTACTTTCTCTAATAGTAGTGCACCCCGGCGAGCCGAGTTGATGCCTATTTTACGGTTTCCAAGCTTTTGCAGAAGCTCAGCACTCAAATCCCCCACAAGATCTCATCGTCAGCTACATTTTCCGACCCCACATCGATAGGTTCTGGTAAGCGGTTCTCGAGATTTCGAGCAATTTAGGCAACGCTCAGGATGCACTACTATTAGAGAAAATACGGTATTCGGTTTTGATGTTTAATAATAATACTTTATTCAAACGATAAAGTGAAAGAAATCATAGAGAAATGCACAGTGATACTTAATCATACAATACATACTGAAATCAATAAGCCAATTACTTACGGCAAAGAGCCACTAGATCTAAAGCATCGATACGTTTCTTGAATATGAAAAGCGACTGAATTTCTCGTATGTCGTTTGGGAGCAAGTTCCAGCAAGTTTGTAGAAAAAAAGCTGATTTTTGTTTTATTTATTTTCAAATTTATCAACAACTTGTATTATTCTTATTGTAACAATGGCATTCTTTTCCTCGGCATCTTCCCCAATTACAATCAAAAGTTATACGACAAGCTGTATTGAATTTTGAGCTTTTGTCTCCGAACCAATCCTGGCAACCATAGCCGCCTAAATCGTTTTTGATGGTCACTCTGAATTTTTTGGCATTCCTAAATCATGGCAGACTGGTTTCATCAGCTGTGTTAAAAAGTTTTGTATTATAATTGAAAGAAATGCTGTAAAATCTATTAAAAACTCTCCTCTAGGCTCGGCGAAAATTTTCAAGTGAAAAGAGCTGTCAGAATGATGAGAACAAGGAAAAAGATCCATTTAAAATCTCTGACCAAAGATCGAAATCGGCTTCTCCATTTCCTTTTCTTTTCCCGAACTTGAAAGCCATCTGACTTTTCTATAATTCAGTTACACTTTTTTTATTGAATTCCATGTCTTCAGTTGATTCATTCTCAACATCTTTTGGTTTAGTTTTTATAATTGTTCTCTCGTGTCTCGAGGTGAAGTGGATTGAGTTGATCTTTTGATCTTTAGTTGATCTTTAAAGGTTTTTTTATAATAAAAATGTTGTAAAATCTATATAGTATTGTTTATTTTAAAAACAAAACTCACGAATATTCCCCAAAGAACACAATGAAACCAAAAGCTCCACTTCCGATGATCATAGATGAATCGATATTCATTTTATTGACAGTTTTTCTTTAAAAAATGTTATCTTCAACTAATTATTAATAATTTCAATGTTAAAAAGTCAATGATCATCTTTGAAAAAGAAAAAATGAATTACTTTTCATTTTTTCTTCTTTAAAAGATTGTTTGTGAAATTTGAATCGATCTCTCATAAAAGCGTTTAGAATTCATTTTGACTCATAGAAAAACTTAAATCAGATAGATTTCATATCTTTAAATAGAATAAAAGAAACGAATGACTAATCGATTTTGAGATACCGTAAAAAATTCTAATAGAAGACCATGGTCCTCTAATTTTTAACCGCCCAAAATTGGTCGGTCAAAAAAATAGGTAATGGTCCCTCAAATGAATCAAAAGAATTAAAAAATGTTAAAAACTATTTTAAACGATAGCCCTTTGCCTAAAACGTGTCAAAAGCGTGTTTAAAAGTAAAATTCTTTTACTTGGATGCCATAAAAAATTTTCCAAAAAAATCTATGTGGGGACCACATGGATATTTTTTTCAAAAAATTATTTAATTTTTTCAAAAACTACGTTTCCAATTTTATTGCCAAGGCCAAAATATTTTAATCTGGACCCAAATCTAGCATTCTACCTATAAAGAAATTCCAAGATTTCATGGGGTAATTGCAGTGGTCTTCCATTAGAATTCTTACGGTAGTAAGATCCTTCACGTAGAAAACTGCTCTCTAGTTCACAGCTTTAATGAAAACAGTCTTTGAGCTAATCCATCACTTAAATGATTCAATTTCTTCTTTTATCATCTATTGAAAATAAGAGGATGATGAATACAGAGTATCCTAAAATTATCCGCACAAATTTCAATGTAACATATAACTCGAAGAATCCTCCGAAAAACGATTTTATAACAAAGAAATGTATTGAAGTCAAACAATTAAGCCAATAAAAATCATTTTTATTCGAAATATCCACCATTTCCCGCAATACATTGCCTTAATCGATCTTCGATTTCGGTATGCAGCACCATAGACTTTGACCCCCGGTAGGCACAAAAACAAGAGGTGTTTTACCATCATAAGTTATTCCAGCCCGTACCATAACCTGTTGAGGCTTTTGTTGACGGGCAATGATGTTATTCTGTAGAGCAGGAGAGGATTGAGCCGATCCTTTTGGTGATTGTGTGCTTGCTCGACATTAAACCAATTCTCATCATTGAACAAGATCAGCTCCAAATCGCCGCAGAAGTCGTTTACACTGCACGAGTCGTTTGGTCTTCGCCACTGCTATCTGAGTTTAAAGATCAATTTTATTAGTTCTAAATGTAAATTAGAATAAATAAGGGAATAAAGAATAAAGAATGAATAAAGAATTAAATGCAGAGAAGCTTCGGATTCAATTTCTGGTTTTCTAAATGTTTAGAAAGTTTGCAAAAGAATTTATTCATATTATTTTTGTTTTCGAATCGTTTTTTTATCCCACTTTCCTCTTTTCACCTAAATAGTTTATTTTGAAACATTTCTTGTCTTGGTTTACCGTGAATTTTGCGAGTAACAAATGTGGCCAAGCAACATAGAGAGAAATATCCAAAAACAGCTCCCAAATAGGTAAAAATATGCATGATAGGATGGAAAAGTTCAAGAACTGGATATAACCAGTATCCATCATAGTATCGAACATAGAAAATTCTAGAAATTAAGCTAATGATTAACATTTAAAGCCATTTCACATTTTAAAATACACAGCTACCAGCACGAAAGCCATCACTTTCAATGTGAATCTCGTTGGTGGAGTGTGGTGATTCGAGAGAAGATCTAGAAATTGGATTAAGTTGAATAGAAGTTGAATAAATAGAGATTTTCCAAACCAATCAACAAGTGAACAGCCGGTAATGTATGAGTGACGTGATTCAACCAATTGGGTATCAACGCGGCGACCCAAGCCGGCATCACCAACTCTGGCTCAATCGCGTAAAGACCCCAGAATAAAGCAACTGTCGTCTGAAATTTTGTTTTAAACTTTGAAAATCAAGACTTTCTTTCGGTTTACGTCATCTAATTCGTGTAAATCTTTACAATATTCAAGTTTTATTGGGTTGGTGAATTGAAAACTGCGGGACTTTGAACTAAAATTTATTCAACATAAAATATCAATTCATTCCAAATAATTTCCATTATTATTGACGACTTGTGCCCATTTTACAGGCAATTTGCGGATTCCTCTTTCGTAGTAGGATTTTGGTTTGTGTGTGAGACAAGTGTGAGACTCAAAAATGGAGGACTGGAGATGTCCCAGTTTGAGCACTTTCTTCAAAAGAAACCCACTTTGGTGTTAATAGAAAAGTTGTAGAGAATCAAAAATTAGGCTTATAGCCAAATTTCCAAAAAGATACACTTAGTAGTTTCGCTTAAAATGCAAGTTTTGTGAAAATTCGTGAATTTCGCATTTCTTGAAAACCAGTTTTTGAATCGTTCTGAAAATTTGGATATAAGCTTGATTTTTGATTCTCTACAATTTTTCTATTGACACCAAAATGGGTTTCTTTTGAAGAAAGTGCTCAAACTGTGACATATGACAATAACCGGTAGTTTTCGATTCACCAATCCAATATTTACCATTCCAACTGGGAAAATTGATGTATAAAAGTAAAAGTCGACCACATTTCGCAAAAATTTCCATTTTGTGAGCACAAAAAACAAACTGATAACGGAATATCCAACAAAAAGAATCTAAAATCGAAGAAATGAAAGCTATAAAGTTTATTCATACAAAATTTATATTGGTTAACATGACCAATTTCTTTGCCCAAACTTCTCCCATAAGTCGAGGCAAATAGTGAATGTCATAGTAAAGTGATGAGCACCAAATTATCGCAAAAATTGAATGTGTTGCTAGTTGAATAAAATTTGATGTCATTTTTGCATAAAGTGAAAAATAGGTGTTGTTGCTTTTAAAAAAAAAATCGATGCCTGGTGTTTCTTTTCGCTATTGTTCGCCGGTGAATCGCGTCTGTAAATAGGTCAAAGGAAGAGGAAAATAGAAAAAACCAAAAATAAAAGATCTGAATGTGAATTCTTTTACAATACAATCATTAGATTACTTAGATTTGAAGCTAAACTAAATTATAAGATTAAAACTAATTCCTGGACACTTAGTTACACAATAATAGAGATTTCCCACTGGGAAACATTTCTGTTTTATAAAATAATCGTTTTCTCTTTACAATCATTTGCTTTATCATTTTATTCTTAAAATGTTAAATTAAGTTTTCCATTTTTGTTTTAAGGAAATTTCTTTCTCTTGCAGTATGATTGCAGAAGTAGACTTGAACTTGAACCCTCGCCTGCCTGGAAAAAACAAACAAATTAAAAATTAAACGATTTGATGAAGGTAAATGTGTTTTTATCTATTTTTGCTTTAGTCTAATCAATTTGATGCGGCCTATAGAAGTACAATGAAGCAATCAAGTTTGACAAGTCCAATAAAACGTAAAAAAAGCCGCCACATGCTGGAAGTATCGAGCTTTTAGCCTGCATCCATCACAGCACTTTACCACTAGACCATGGCGGTCTTGCCTGAGAAGGGATAAATAATCATATTGAAGCAAGAGGGATAAGTCAGCTCAGAGATTTCTTCAAGCAATCTCAATCGTCTTTGTCTTATTGTCATTTTCTTTTTTCTAGGGGGTGGCTACTTTGCACCAAATTTTTTGCGCAACAGGGTCATTTGCGTAACTCCCCATAACTTTCTTCTAAGTGGGCCAATCTTTATGATTTTGGTGTCATTTTGTAGATCTCAATAAGTGCAACAAAATGAAACCAGAATCATAAAGATTGACTTAGAAGAAAGTTATGGCGAGTTGCGCGAATGACCCAGTTGCGCAAAAAATTTGGTGCAAGGAGCCACCCCCTTTTTCCATTATACTTTACATACCCTTTTTTTATTCGATCATAATTTCAATACACGTAAATGCACAAGTTAGAATCATTGAGCAAAATCAGACAAAAATCGTTCAACTTAATGGTGCTTCTTTCCGTGTTTCTTTGCTGGTTCGACAATCGGCACTCCGTGAATCCAGCCAGAGATTGTGTCCAAGAAAACGTATTGAATGAAGAAGACTAAATTTAGATTTTTAGAGTCAGTTCGAAGTTTTAAAATTGTTTTACTTACCCGCAACACAAGCGACGATGAACAATGCCCGTGCTGGAAGGGGCAAGAGTCCCAAAATTGGGTATGCCCAGAAGCCAGAGATGTAGTGAACGTAGTGAATACTAAATCAAATATATAATACTTGTAGTCGATACTTGTTCTAGAGCAGTTGCAGTATTGTTTTGGCTCTTAATAGTAAGCTAAATGCTCAGCTTTGATCAGCGATGAGTAAAAGTGCACAAGTAAATTTCAATTTTCATTAAAAAACTTACTCAATTAGGTACAGAATAGCAAAAATGGTGATCCCAGTGACAGCAGCTCCCTTTGTGATTCGACCGTGTTGCCAGAGAATCGTATCCAGGAAAACGGTCAACGCTGGTGCCGAGTGCTAAATGTTACTTTAAGTTACAACTGAAAAACATTTCTAGTTAATATCAATTTCTAAACAACTCACAATTGCATTATTGAACCAAGTTATTGCTATAATCTTCTTCGCATTCTCATCATGAAGAAGGAAATCGGGATCGAGTGTGTACAATGCCCAGAACAAGAGAACAACTGACTAAAATGTTTTCTTTTGTATTTATTTTATTACTATGCTGTTAACTAGGACTAACTAGCCGACTAACTAAATAAATAAATAACCAACTAAATAACTAGAACCAGAATTAGCTAGCTAACTAGCTAACTAACTAACTAACTAACTAGCTATCTAACTAGCTAGTTAGCTAACTATCTAACTAGCTAGCTAACTAACTAGCTAGCTAACTAACTAGCTAGCTATCTAACTAGAACTACAACTAACTATACTAGAGTAGAAATTTTAAAACTCACTAGTCCAATCGGTCCAACCAACACTTTGGCGGTATAGTGGAAAGCCTTGTTGCATGAGCAGGATGGTGAAAAGATTCCCCACAAGTGGTAGAAAGTTTGGAGGTACTAAAGTGGTGAAATTTTATGATTGAAAGAGATTTGTTTTAAAAAATTAGGAGATTTCTATGCAAAAAGCTCTAGGTTACAGATATTTAACTCTTTTACGTAGCAGTGCTTTGCTTCTAACATCTAACAAATCCGATCTAACAGTTTCCTCCTTTAAATGAAGGATCAAACAACTTTGAAAGTCTAGTTTTTAAAGTTTAGTTTTTGCAGCTCGTATAGCAAGCTGGTTTACAAATCGTATACCAAGCTGTCCTTATTATTTTCAATACCATAGACTTACTTACCAAGTCCACCATTGTCAACCAAACGAATTTTGAGAAGAAATTCCCCGAAATCGGCAACAGATCACCGGAAATCAAACCCGCGTCAAACCAGCACGTATACGCGTAGAAACCAAAGCAAATCGCGTGAAAGACGCTTCGATGATCAACCATTGTCACCTGTAAACAGCAGTTAAATTTTTTTTAAACCAAAATTCCTAGACAATAATAAGCATTAGGTGATTGAAAATTCAATTAGAAACAACATTTAAAGTGCAACTTTGACCGAATAAGAGCAAAAATGATTGAGAAACGAGCCAACGCGTAAGTAGATCTTTTGCGGTACACAACTACACAATAAAAAATGATAAGCGCTTTTTCTTTCTTTGATCGGTGATCCGTGAAAGAATTTTACTTGAAGGAAAGTGTTAAACTTTGTCAAATCTTGATTTGAAATAGATTAAAACTAAAAACGGAATAGTACTTGTAGAATTGAAAACTGGATTGTAAAATGAAAAGCTTCAAGATTGCCTTACGAGGAAAAATCAACCTCAAATCCGCGCGAAATGCGTAAAAATGTGTTCTCTGTGTTAAAAATCACTGACATTTGCGCTTTTTAAAAGATTTAAAAGAAAAATAACGACATTTTGATATTTCAGCAAAAATTAGTGGAATTTCGAACGCATTGAGCATAAATTGCCCAGTCGGTGCTTTATAGAGTGCGGAAACTACCGTAGCCTATGCGCTTTAAATAAAAATGTCACAAAAAATACTTGTTTACTTCCGGAAGTCATTAGTCGCTTATTTCTTCTTCTTTTTCTTTCATGGATCATCAATATCGCCAAAGTTAAGGTTTTTTTTGTTGATTTTATAAGCAAATGGTTTTATTTGTACGTTTTTTAGGAAAACAACTTGAACGGACGATCTGGACAAATAGAACTCGGTGCATCAAGGCAGCAATTGGGTGGGGTTTACTTTTCCTTTTATGCTAAAATTTGATACTTGCCTAGTTTGGGGAGCCACTTTTTTTTTTTTTTCTTCAAAACCACTTTTTCTGGGGTAGTTTTATACGTAGACTCCGAAAAACACAACGGGAGCTTGGGGAAATGCGTTTTAAGCCAAGTTTCGGGGCTCCAAAGTGCGGGTTTCTAAAGTGTACTTCACTATATGGAGCCCAAGCTATCGATTATTGGGACATTTTTCAAGGTCATAACTAGAGCCAAAACCATTTTTAATCACTAAATATTTATTTTCTAACTTAAATTGACTTGTAGAGGCAAAACAAATTGAAAAAATATTTTTTGATATTTTGACCGATTTTGACTCATGTGGGGGACCACATGGTCGAAAGTTTGAAAAAAATTTTTTATTTTGCTCCAATTTGATCAGAAACATAATCAGCAGGTTAAATTATGCCAGAAGAAGTGTTTTTGGCGGAAAAAATGTTTTGAGAGACCATTTCTAGACGTCTTCCCTATGTGTATCCCCCTCATCACACTGTATGAGCGCGCACTTTGGAGCCCCGAAACTTGGCTTAAAACACATTTCCCCAAGCTCACGTTGTGTTTTTCGGAATCTACGCATAAAACTACCCTGGAAAAAGTGGTTTTGAAGAAAAAAGTGCCTCCCCCACCCCAACTAGGCTAGTACCTAAAATTTAGTACCATTTCGAACGCGTTGAGAAGAAATAAGCGAATAATGATTTCCGGAAGTAAACACAAGTATTTTTTGTGACATTTTTATTTAAAGTGCGTAGGCTACGGCAGTTTGCGCACTCGATAAAGCGCCGACTGGGTAATTTATACTCAACACGTTCGAAATGCTATTAGTTTTCGCTGAAATATCGCAAAGTCGTTATTTTTTTCAAATCTTTTAAAAATAGTTGATGCACTATAATTGCTAAGGGTTCTGCATAAATTTCACCTATGCTCGTGAAATATCACGCCAAAGTCAAGGGTTAAAATAGAGATTTGCGTGCTTTTTTATTCTTAAAATTTCAAAAAAAAAGTGTAATTGAAACTTCTTTTTGTGTTTATTTGCCATATTAAAGCCGTTAGAACATGATTATAACAAAAAAAAATACTTTTATTGATCATCAGCACTTGCGAACTAGGCCGATAAGAAGAGTCGAATTTAGGATTTTACTTTTTCATAAAAGCCCATTTTTAGAAAAATCTACAAGACGGATTTTTATGAAGCTGTCATTTTTGAAATCAGCGCATTTTTTTGGTCTAGAAAACGCAAATGGCAGTGATTTTTAACAGAGAACGCATTTTCGCGCGGACGTGAACCGGCCTGGAGTTGGCAATGAGATATAGACCGTTCGACGCAGATTTTGTACTAAATATGTACTGCATTTTTTGTTGAATCACAAAATCGCAAAATATTTTGATTCAGAGTGTCAAAAACCTTAATACTTCTAATAGTAGCGCCCCCCCCCCCCCCTCTCGTATAGTCGTTTAGTCACAAAAAATTTTTACTAAATCATTTTTTCTAAGTGCCCATAATTTCTAAAAATAAATATTTGGTATCAAAAAATGGCCCTGAATTTCAGCTTTCATTTGATACTTAAGCGCACACTGTAGCATAAACGGTTGGCATAAAGTTAGACTACGCGACGCTCCGACCGTCATTATAGCGGTGTGCTAATATTAGAGGTATTACGGTATATATTTGGTGTAGAATCGTCTAGTTTTGGTCATTGACCTTCCAGAGACATTTTCTTGAAACAGAACTATAGCATGGAGACTAGTTTTTATATGATAACTCTTTGTTTCCTTGATTAGCTTTTACCCAAACTTTCCACTTTTGATTTTGAGCAACTAACAGCGAATTCTCTAAAGCTTTCACTGAAACTTCTCAAGCATTTTGAAGGCAAAAATTTTCTCTAGAAGCAAATTTGGGCAATTAATCATTTAGTTCTGTTGATCTTATGTAATTGTCTCCAAAGCTGGGTAGATTTTGGAAAAACAGCCATTTCTACGGCCGATTATAATTGCCGTTGCTGCGCATCTGCTGTCCCAAGCTACAAGAATCCTACTCAATCATAGAATTCGCAAGTCAATGTGATTTTCATCTCTGTATGCATAGCTGTTAGACTATTGATCAGGTTAGTTACAAGATATTTAAACTACAAAATAAATGATGGAGATAAATGGGAAAAAGTGTTATTGATTGATCAAGTTAAAACTTAATAGAAAGTTTAGATATTTTTAAAAAGCGAACAATTAGTGCAAAAAGCTCAAATCAATCAAGACAGACAATTTCTTTGTGGTCAGTATTGGGGTCAATCCTCGTCCCACTTTGCCGAGTACGCTTTGACCAGTTGACTTCCCGTTGCTATGCGATAACCGCATTTGGGCCTTTCACATTTTGTTCACCTTTGGGTCTTCATCATGTGATTCACTAGTTTGCATTGGAAACTAATTTTTTTTCAGAAATGCCTCTGACTTTTGAAGAAGACTACAATAAGGATCGAGAGGATCACGTGGCAGAAACGGCCTACTTCTCAGCTGCTCCAAGGTTTTTAAATTCTATTAGAATTTGAATTGACACTTTTTGAATAAATTGATGCTAAAACGATTCAATGATAAAGTTATTTTGCTATAAAGATAAAGATAAAGTTAATCGTTTTCAGAAAACCGAAAAACTCGTTGGAGGCGATGGCAGCAATGCGACTTTTGTACTTCGTTAAGGGAGAGGACCTCAAAGACGGGATCCAATTCATGAGAAATGCTGATATTGGTAATCTATTGCAAGAAAATTTTACATATTAAGAAGAAAATCTATTAATTCATCATGATTTTCAACCTTTCCAACAATTCTTTTTAAATTTTAACATGATTGAGCTAAATTTTGATCCTTTAGTAAGTAAATGGCTATTTTAAAGTATGTCTTTTGTAAAACTGAAAAAGTCAATTGAAAACAAGGTCTAAAACCCTTTAATGCTTGTCATAACACGATCGATTTAGCTCCGGATCGACTAACAATCACAATGGCCCAGGATGATTGCTTTGTTGTGTCATTCAGTCTCAAATGCACGTCGACTCCATTCGTTGCCCGATACAGTTCCCTTGCTCTTCTACTCAAATCACTCAGGTTGATCTTGCTACTGAAAGATTCTATCAGATCTATAGATTGAACTAAACCTTCAAATTCCAGATGCATTTTCCCGTGGGAGATCCGACTTGTTGAGTTCTTCAACGTCGCTTTCGATATCCGAGATGTGCCGAACTTGGAGATTGTGATTAAAGGATTGGAGCCCGAATTGGGTATGTGCTCTAGTTAAAATGTAGTTTTCAGTATTTTTGATCAAAAGTTGATCTTTTCAAGGCTAAGCCAATTTTATAAAGCCCTTGGGCATATTGATGTCAGTGTTAGCACCATCAATCCCACAAATCTCATCCACTACGTCGAAACGATTGCTAGTTTTTCTAGATCAATCACAATTGCCATTTTACTTCGATTTCAGTTCTGCTGAGAAATTGTACATATCCGGATGTCTTTCCGGGCCCGGAAGCGGTGCGCTTTCTGAATGCAATCAATCGACAGAAGAAGACGATCGTTTGCGAGTACGGAGAGGATCGATTGAAAGTGAGAAAACAGTTTAGATTAAGCTAGGCAGGTTTAAGTAACCAAACCATATCCAGAAGATTTCATGATATCATACAAATTAGCTTACGATTAATCACACGAGCTTTGCCAGTCAGAAACCCATTCTAGCAGGCCTCAAAACTGCAAAGGCTTAGGAAACTCTCATTCCCAATCAAAGAAGTCAAAAGTATTCTTTAAAGCTCTTTATTTTACTTTTAATATTTCAATTTTGATCATCCAATCATTTTTCTGTGCAAATTACGAAATCTAGAGTCGGATCAGCATCGGAAACGAGCAACAACCACAGTTAAACGAGGAGGAGATAAGGAATAAAATGCCGGCAACTGTTCCACGGACTGCACCCAAAAACACTCCATACTACCTGGTGGATCACGAAATTGAGGTTAGTTTTTAAAAAGTATAATGCTTACAGTGGAATATTAAATTTTGAGACAATTCTACCTAATTTTCAGATTGTCGACGTCGAAAATGAGCCAGGTCCATCGACGAAGAAGCGAAGAAGAACGAAATAGTCTTTTTTTCTTAGGCGTTTTTCTTTTTTTGATTCAGAAAAATACGGATTTCAATCAATTGCTGATGAATTTTTGACTCATTGTTGACTTTTCTCGTTGACTATAAATATTTTTATGAAAAACGCGTCTTGTTTTTGTCGAAAATGAGCTCTGTTCTCTGGAATTCCTGTTTGTTTTTTTAAAAAAGTCAGTCGCATAAGCATTGATTTATTTCTATAAATGCCTTTTGAAAAGTTTAACCTTTTATGAAGTATCGGATTGATTCTTAAGCAACTAAAGCATTTTAGAATACCAGTATTTGATCTTCTTTTCGGCCTTTTCGAGTCAGATTTTCAATGTAAAAAACCTCTATAATCTAAAAAATGTACCTGGTGACTTGTTTTTATGGTGACATTTTATACCGTCCAAGTTTTCTAACAATGTGCGTTATCTACCTCAGCCAATCCCTATGAAAAATTGAACATGTTTTGCCAACATTTCCTAGTTAGAATTCCTAGTCCAATTTACAGGCGTTAGATCCGACAATCAGCTGATCGATCAACTAAAAAGTAAACATCATTTTGCTTACCAAAAACCCCGTCCAGAAAGTCAAAAGACAAAAAATTTTTGCCCAATAATCATGATGCGAGAGGTCAAAGCACACGTGAATGAAAGTGAGAGGATTTCTTTATGATTGGTGGCATTTTCACACCCCTTTTCAAAAAAGGGAAATTGTTTCAAATTGCTTCTCTTTTCTGAGGGAGCTGTACCCTTTCTTTTCTTTTCCTTTCCCTTATCACCACTTTTCTTCAAATTTTCCCCTAGTCGACCCCCAATCGCGTTCCCTTTTTTCTGCCCTTTTCTTCTTTTTTCATTTTTCTCGACCGGCACCGAGTCAATTTTCTTATCACGGTTTCAGCTTTCAGTCTCGACGGTCTCTCTTTTCTTAGAAAGGAAAACGAAGTACGATACGTGAATCGGAAGCCAATGCTAGGACAGTGAATATGTGAGTTTTTGCTTGATTGATAGAATTTCGGTTTATTGATTTGAGTGACCACTTTTCTTAGCGTCGGATTAAAGCAGCAGTATAGTGCTCAATTGGCTTTCTACAGTACACCAGAGTTGAATCTATAATTAACAACCTTATAGCTAAGAATATTCACTCTTACCAGTCACAGGTGAAATCCGGTGTACTTTATCTTTAAGGGCTTTAGGGTTAAGGTATACTGTATTTTTAAGGCTTTAGTTTACTTTTGGACTTGAATAAACTATTGATCGTGAGCTGTTTCTTGTTTAGAACTTGTTTTGTAAATAAGTTCACAAAGTAGACATTGCATTAAAGTTTTCCGGCTCATTTCCTTGATCACTTTGATAGTTCTCAGATCCAGTTTAGTCTGCCAAAAACAATCACCATAGTCACTCAATCTTTAAAGAACAAAACGATGATATCATCACGGTTTCGATGATCAATCAAATCACCCCACCCAGCTAGGAAAGTGCTCTATTTTTTTTTTGAATCCCCGATCATTTACAAATGAGATAAAACAGCAAAAACATGATAAGATCGGTGAATCAGATCGAAATCTTATAATTTCCTAAATTTCCGTTTCCGATCGATTTCGAAAATTTTCAGAAAATATGGTAGAGACGGGCGATTCGAATCAAGCCTACAGCCCGGCTGTGAGTTTGAAAAAATTAAATAGATTATCGAAAAGTTTAGGTTGGCTTCTTGTACATATTCAATTTGATCGTCGGGACCGGGGCGTTGGCACTGCCAAAAGCATTTCAATCAGCCGGATACTTGCTCAGCATTGTGCTATTGTTGATATCGGCAGTGATCAGGTAGGCAAAAATTAACAAAGCTCAAGTGGTTCAAGGTATTTGAACTCATTGAACTCTTTGTTCTGTTGGCCTTTTGGTTTTTGAAAGTTCAAAGAGCTCAAAAACGTTCAGATATCTTTATTTGGCTTATGACTAGTGAAAGCAATAAGAAATTACGACATTTGAAATATTATACTTTCCTATAACCACCAAAATAACTTATTTACACTTAAACAGATGCACATAATCAATCAATTTCAGTTATATCTCGGCGACTTTCATCTGTGAAGCTCTTTCTGTAGCCAATGCCGTCAAAAACAAAGACAAACGGAGACAAGAAGTCGAATATGATGGTTGATAAATCCTGTACTTCATTCATTTTCAATATTTTAGACGTATCTGTCAGTGAATCGGGACCATCAAACTTTGAGATCACGCAGCGAGTTGAAGTGGTGAGTTGAAGTTGACAACAGTATTAGCCTTTGGTAGCAAATCAAGCAAATTTACAGTTACTTAAGTTCTGAAACATTCAAAATCCATTCCAGTCAGCAATGGCCAACATGTTCCTCTCTCGAGCCGGGGTTCTCTTCTCTTCGGTTGCTCTCAATGTGTATCTTTTTGGAGATCTTGCCATCTACTCCACAACTGTGCCGAAAAGCATGATGAATATGATTTGGTTCGAATCTCTTTGACTTCAATTTTCATAAGCGTTTCAGTGCTTCAATCAATACATCAACAGTTCAACCAGAGGATCCCTGCCAAGAACACTGGCCACATGTTTTCACGAGGTTTATGGTGTACAGGTAAGTAACTGCACTTGATCGTTGACTAATACTGAATAAATTTTTGAATGACTCTAATCATTGCCCAATTCAGGCTATGCGTGCTTGCTTTCATTTGCATCTGCTTACCGATGATCATTGTTGGAGTGACGAAGACGAAATATCTACAACTTGCAACAAGTGTCAGTCGATGGACAGGTATTCTATTGGGTAATTGGTCTATTATCGGGTTTCAGCTTTTTCTTTGATGATCTTCCTTGCTTCGTTGCAACTTGCGACTGATGGTGCGGCCGCTTCTCCACCTCCAGTCAATCTACACGGTTTTGGATCATTGTTTGGTGTGACGGTTTATGCATTTATGTGCCATCACTCGCTTCCATCACTTGTAACACCAATGAGGTCAGTTGAAAAGTTGCTAAATATAGAGAGACGATAACTTCACTAAAAGTTAAACACCAGAAATATTTGGTGATTCTAGAATAACAGTTTGGTGTGCTTAAGTCCGGCACGAGTTTTGTTCGAATCCCTAGACTCTTGGAACCTAAGACTTGAGTGAGGATGTTCCAAAAAGTCAGTAACCGATCAAATAACAAGGAAATGCCGTCAAGAAGCCAATGCTTAGTTAATGTAAATAAGAAAGCCAAAGATTTCCTAAAGAGTTTCAACCTTTCTCTTGAGTATGACATTGAATAAACCTTTGTAGTCAGCAAGCAATAACAGCTTGCTCAAGTATCCAACAACCCTGAAAAGTTTCAAACGATTTCAATTTCAGTTCAAAATCTCGTCTATTCCCCGGTATGACCGGTGTCTACTCAATCGTTCTTCTTTTCTACTTCACCCTCTCCGTTACCGGAGCTTTCGCTTTCAAACATGTCGAAGACGTCTACACCCTCAACTTTTTCCACGATGACAACAACTCGGCGCTCTACTTCTTGATCGATCATTTCTTGGTTTGTCTTTTCATCATATTTCTTTACCATTTCACCATTTTACCAATTTTTCAGGTTCTTTTCCCGATTTTCACCCTAACCACAAATTACCCGATTGTCGGGATCACTTTGATCAACAATATTAAAGTGTTGAAGGATATGATTATGCCAGTACCAGAGGGGTAAGTTTACTTATTTACAGCTGAACCAAAATCATTTTAAACACTTAATCAAAGGTGATTGTCTAAAAGAAACATGACTGGCTGTACTTTGTGTTCTAGTAAACATTCGCTTTCTGGCAAAGTCTTGATGCTAGGGAATTAGTGTGCCAGGAAGGGTGCGATTACGAGAGCACAAGGCACTGATGAACCATGACAGCTTAAGAACAACAAAATGGGCTTTGAACACTAAAAATTGACACAAAGCCTCACAAAAAAACTGGGTGACTGGAGGAAATTTTAAAAAATGACCTAACAATGCCTTTATTAACTTTGGGTAACGCTTTCTTGCAGAAATCTCACCGAAGAAGAAACCCTTTTGGAGACAAGCGATGACGAGCGAACCATCCAAAGGCCTCACTCGAGATCGATAAGGCTCGTGCTTTTTTTTCGTTCACTTTTAACCAAATTTTTGAGTGACTTTCTTTTGCTAACTATATTAACCATATAATAAATTAAGTATTTAGAAAAGTTGATCCGAGGGATTTAATCATTCCGGCAGTCGTCATCGCTCTACCGACTTGCATTTCTTTGTTTACGGATAATGTAAGGTTTTAGAATAAAAATTCTTTTCAAAAGTTACAGTTTGTGAGATTTGACTTGACAGTAGCATTCCATTTTGTTAAGATATGCAAATTCATTCAAGAACATTAGTGTCAGATCAAAAAGCGACTCGTAAAAGAAATCTTGATTACAGCTTTGATTGTAAAATTAGAGAACAACTTTACAAAGCTAAGGCTGAAAAATAAATCTTTATTAGCTTAACGTAGAACATGATAAAGCCCAAAAGATCATTTTCGTTCGAAAACTGGATCAAAATTCGTCAACGATTGGCTTAGCCAAGTAATTCTAACGGAAAACCTAACATTTCTAAGAGAATATGTAAAATTTGAAATCTGATTCCAGCTAAAATGATTAAAGGATGAAAGAATGTTAAAAATTTACGAATTTCCATCTTCAGGTTCTCCTCCTCGCCTCGATCACTGGCTCTTACCCAGGCGTCGGTGTTCAATTCATCATCCCTTGTCTTCTCGTCCTAGCCGCTCGAAGCTACTCCAAAACCGTCCTCAACTTCCCAGTACCCAAAAAACATCAATCTCCCTTCACCCATCCTGCTTGGATCTATGCGATCTTTGGCTGGGCTTTCTTTTCAATTCTCATGGTCACTTTGAATATGTTCCACTTAAGCTTTTAAATATACTAACGTGTGATTCTTGATACTCAATAGGTGCCATCACTTTTCTCCTTAGTAAATTGCTTTAGTTTCCCCCTTTTTCCCAACTGTTGATCAGAAGCATATCAAAAATCAGTGCAATATTTGAAATTTTACCCATTCCATTTCTATTTTTAATCAAAAACCTCTTTGAAATTAGGTGTCCACTGGCACGGGTCCCGTCCGGTTTTTCTCAAGTTCACAAAGCTTTTTTTTTTTGCATTCAGTTTCATGCATTTTGTGTTTTGTCATTTAATACTTTTATAATATCAATAGTTCTTGTGAATAGATAAAGTGTTTAGTAAAAATTTTAACCTTAATCAATAATGCACAACAAAATTCACTACCGAGATCAAAGAAAACTTGCTCAACTCTTTTTTGATTCCAAATTTTTTTTTAAGATTAACTTATTGAGAGAAAAGTCACAATCAGATAACAAAGAAGGAAAGGAGTTGGCAAGAAAAAGTAGATTTCTGGAGAGGGGATTGAACCGTCGACCTTTTACTTTGGCAGTTGCTCTAGTCAATGAGCTATCCGGTGCCTTAGCATCCAAAAGGAAGACAAAGAAAGAAGGGAAGACAAGGGAAAATAAGAGAAAAAGAAAGAAAGAAATATCCGTCTTCCTTTAAAAGCGTGTTTTATGAATTGCTTGCTACTGATGGTTTATTAGTTTTTTCGGCTTTTTTAAAATGTACTTCTTAAGTAAAGTCAATAAAGTCTAAAAAAATCATATCAAAACTCAGAACATAAAAGAATTTTAGGTTACATATCAAAATACTAATATAATTTTTCAAGTAGCCTGACCATTCTATTGTTTAGTTTTAGATTTTAGCTCCAGATTTTAGCTGAAAAAAAAGAGAGTTCGTGGATGAGGCTGTCCATTTTTTTTGGGTCACGGGCGTGTGTTGCACGTCTGTCTGTTTGGGTTCGTTGTGGAGAGCTGTCAAGATTCTTGCGGGAAGGCGACCTCCATTCTCTCATCAAATCTCTTTATCCTATTCTGGAAGCAATTCGTCAATTCCATTCGTCTTTAATCATTCTTTAATTTCGTTTCAATTTTCATTCAACTTTATTTTTTTGTCACTTCAATGAGACAGCTATTATTACTAGTGCTTTTACCAGCAGTTGTCGCTAATTTATGGCTACCATTTGTGAGTTTTATAAAAAAACCCTAAGTTATTTTGTAGTTTTGATAGTTTATTATAAAGATTTCTTTTATTCAGGCAAACTTTGGCACAATGTTTGGAGCAATTCGAGAAGCAGCTTTCGGCAGTCGAGATTTAGATAGTGATGTCCCAGTGACAACTCACTCTAATCCGCTTACTTATTTTGCTATGGGTAAGTCGTAGAGTCTTAGTCTTAGTAAATAATTCTATGAAAATCTAGAAATCATAAAAATAAGTGCTTCTTTAGCTGGCAAAGAACTCCTGCACAACTTGCAAAAAATCTTTCTTGGTGATGATGAGGAAGATCAAGAGAAAACGGATGAATACGAGATCCCCGAGTCTTTTCGAGAACTGCCAACAGGTTTTATAACACCTAATCAAATCAAAAATTCATTAGAAATCCCGGAAGACACAACAACTGTCGATACTTTCCCAATGTCGTACACTTTTGGCCCACCGACCACCGAGGAAACCCCAGTTGTTCCCCGGACATATTTGCCTGGATTCAAGTTCACTTTTCCTTACACAACACCGAATTGGATGGCTACGACAAGGCTACCGACAATAGGGCCGATTAAACCAAGGGTAGAAATTTGTTCAAATGTTAAGGTAACTAAGAAGTCATAAGATTGTGTTTCAAGATATTCTGGTTCAAGATATTCAAGATCTGGCTTGGCTCTGAAGCCAAGCCAGTTCAGGCAGCATGGCGAGCCAGTAAAGCCAGTCCCAGTAAAAAAATACTGGGACTTTTATGAATCCAAGCAAAGCAAAGCTAAGCTAAAGCCAAGCTAGGCCTGGTTCATTTGTCGAAATACTTTTTGACTTTTTTTAATTTCTTCGTTTTAGATTTGGACAAAAGCTGTTATGACAACAACACCAACAACCACTGAAAGTTATATGATAACTGAAGAAGAGACAACGATGTATGTGAATCAGTTTACTGATTAAATATTAAAGTATTGAATTGTCTTTCAGAAAAATTGACAATTAGTCTACGATAAATAGAAAAAAGTTTTAGAAAATAGCTTTATTTAGGCGACCGGTGCCGATCACGTGGACCCCATTCCCAATCCCAGAATCGACAACTTCTGAGTAAACTTACACATTACAATAAATAAAAAGAAGCAAATTTAGAGAAGTTACAACTGAATGGACGACCACTTCTCCTACTACAACTACAACACAATATATTCGAATCCCCTGGAAAACCCCTGAATACACTACCCCAACAACAACACTATCTGTTCGGGAAAGAATGACTAGACCGAATATCAGAAAAGTCAGTAAGTAACTGTTCGAAAATGAGCAACTTCTAGGTGACTCCAACTCCATCAAGCCGTCCAATCTATCCCACGACAATAAAGGATAAAGATGGATCAACCTGTGAAGTTTGCAGTAGGTTTAAACTTTGTCATTGAAAACTTATTCAATAACTTCTTTCTTTGTTCCTTTCTTCCTCTCCCTTATCTTTTCTTCTTTATTCTGGACCGGATGGCTTAGTCTTTAAGGTACTGGATGGCTTAGTGGTTAGAGTAATTGTCCGGAAAACGAGGGTTCAATCCGTTCCTCAGAAATCTGCTTTCTTGTTAATTTCTTCACCTCTTTGAAAGGCTTCACTTCCTTGATCTCTTTCTTTTTCTAGGACCTGGACGCCAGTGTCGTGTCAAGTTGAGGAGTTTCGAGACCTCGGATCCTCTTTTTCAATACGCGTACAGTCACTCAACAATGATTGATGACAATATGCAAGCTCTGCTTCGGGTTAGTGCCAACAAGTAAAAAGAGCTAGCATTAGATTAGATATAGATTAGATTGTAGTCACTTATCGCTCACTTAGTTTACTGTTTTTGTTCCCCAGTTATTAACGTTGAAAAAAACCTTTTTTGATTGATCAATCAAACTTTCAGGAAACCCAAATGTTCTATTTCCCTCCACCATTATCTTGGAAAAATTCTGCATCACCTGAAGTTGTTCAATTGGTTCAAACACTTATGCTTGCTTCTCGTCCATCTAGATGCTTAATCGCTGGCATTTTTACCGGACTTTCAGTAATTGGTGAGAAATTTTAAAGAAAATGAAACAATTTCTGGTCAGGAATTGGAACTCATGTTGACACAAGGGGCATCATTGTTGCTTTGGAGTATCCAGAGTTGGTGCAATATTGGGAAAAGATTGGAATGAGACACGCTCAAAAGGTAGGAGAATTTCAATTTATAATAATCTTACTGTACCTCTAACAAGCTCAAAAGAAAATTCAGCTTAATCTGATGTCTCGAATCCAAGTCCGATCCGCTGAAACAATCGATAGAGGACTGCAAAAGTTGGCCGCAAACGAGCCGAACACTTTTGATCTCATTTTCTTGGTAAGAACGATTTCCTTCGATTTATTGATCAATTGATTAATCTTTATTTGTAATTTTTACAGTTATTTGGTTTTATTGGTTTAAAAATAAGTTTTCAGGATGATTACCGAAAGCAAAACTACTTGGATGACTATGAGCAAGTGATTAAATTGGCTCGACCGGGAGGCATTGTAATCATCAACGAGGTACAACCTGTAGAAAGCTGTAGATAGCTTGTGCAACTAAACCAAGATTATATTGGGTTGTCCAGTTATGAATGCGCGTTTTTTACTATTTTGTAAATTTCTCAAGATACCAAAAGCAAGAAAAAAATATATATGAGTATTATTCGAAAGCTGAAGATCTCCTCTACATTTTGATATAAAAAGTTTTTGAATTTGTTCAGCTTTTGGGAAACTTGACTGCACAGAAGAAGAGGTGGCCAAAAAATGGAAGGGTGCCTTTGGATCAAGTTTTGGCTCCGCTCAAATTGAGTTAACTGCTTGATGTTTGGCCAATAGATATATCAATACAACTTTTTTTAAAATATAACAATTTCAGAGCATCTTTACTTTTCTGGACGGTTATTTTCCACCATAAAACTTGAGGAATAGCTAAGCTGGAATGGGTTTTTTCGAAAACGACCTCTTCCTTTGTGCAGCAGTCAAATTCCCAAAAAGTTGAATGAATTCAAAAACTTTTTTATTCCAAAATGTAGAGGAGATCTTCAGCTTTCGAATGATATATAACACCCATATAAATCTGTTCGATATCTTGAGAAATTTACAAAAGAAGCGCCATATGACCCCAATAATTGAATTAAACTTATAAATAAGAATTTGTTAATATTAAGCTGACTGAATTATGACTTGTTGATGTTTTAAGTTGAGCTTGAAAATAGTATTTCCAAGTGAAGTTCTTTTTTGAAAGTTTACCAGTTCATCTAATGATTTTTTTGATCTGTCTCAGGCCCAGAGTGCGAAACTCAGGTGTTCCTATTTGCACAGATTCACTCACTGTTTCTCTTCCATTGATGAATCCAATCGGTAAAGAGAGCGACGAAATCAGTGCAAACCAAACTCTTTCCCTTGAATCCCACGTTCGTACCTTGGCTTATCTTAAAGACTAGACTCTTCCCAGCGGACTGAGGAGAGGAGAGTCCTTGTATAATAGTGCAAGCACCGTCAACCATAGTAGTGTTGTCCTGTGATTTTTTTAATCTATCTTCGCACTCAAGTATTCCTATTTGCGCAGATCACAACCTGCTTCCACATTTCTCTATCCCTTGCTATTGTCATCCAGTGTTTCCTATCTTGATTGTTCCTGGTACGAAGTCTTCGACTTGCTTGTGCTGGTGGTGGTTGCACTCTAGCCATCCTTTCTCTGACCGTCTCTGCCACTCTTGTGCTCCACCTCGTTGCTGGTCTTCCGATGGGCCTCTTCTGGTCTCGTGATAGCCACTCTGTGATTCGTATCGTCCATCTGTCGTCTGTTCTTCTGGCTACGTGGCCGGCCCATCTGAGTCTTTTTCTCTCAATCACTTCCACTGGGTATCTGAGTCCCGAGAGCTGGCGCGTATCCGTACTTCATCTAATGATTTGAAAGTTAAGGCTTTGAAAGTTCAAATTTCAGGCCCTAAACGGTGGCAGTGTGATGAGCCCACCAGAAACAATGAACGCTGATGCCAAAGCCGTTCGAAATATGAACATTCGAATCAAACAAGACACTCGAGTCAGAGCCACATTGCTTCCATTCTCCGGTGGAACTTGGGTGATCACCAAAATCTAATCATTTTCCATGTTTTCTGTTTTGAACATCGACTTCAATCCGCCAAGCAAATGTTGGTGTTTTCCAAATCCCGGTTACAATAAATTGCTTGATTACTATACACTTTAAAAATGCATAAAAATCAATCAAGCTACTTGATTCGTTTTTCTAGACTTTATCCAAAGCCTTTTCAATAATTACGGGCACTCAGTTGTTTTTATACAACTGACCAATCTTTAAAGAAGCTTTTCTAGTTAGAATTTTGAAGTTAGAGTTGTTTTTAATACAAGTTTAGTTAAATTTACAGTCGAACTTCGATATAACGAATCGCTCGGGACCAAAAACTTCGATATAATGAACCTAAAATGTGCCCCAAATTTTTTGCGTAGTTGCCCTGGACGGCCACTGATTGCATTTGGCTGGGGCAGCTACGCAGAAATTTTGGGCACTATTTAGAATTTCAAATTCATTGTATCGAAGTTCGACTGTAATCCTTTTTTTGACAGAAAGTGCGCGCAGCTTTGCGGCTTTGCGGCTTTGTGAGTAAAATGTTTGTAGCTCTAGAAAAATGCGACTTTTGAGTTTCTGCTTAAAATATTGAAATTGGACGTAGAGATTTATATCAAAAATTTCATCAAAAAACATTTGTGAATATTGGTCAATTGCACGCGGAGCAATACTCAAACAAACGAGTGCTCGTAAAGATTGAACACCCTGAAGCTGATTTGAGCATAAGCAAGGCACAATTCTTATGCACACGCTCAGAACCATCAAACAAGTACAAACACTGAACACATTCAACTTTTAAAAAATATCACAATGTAATTAATTTTGCCGTGAACAGAGGTCCAAAAAATGCCTTGGAATCAAAAATCCGAATTCGGATAATTCTTAGTTGTTGTCCAGGCAAGAAAAATCCAAAGTTTGAGTAAAATCCTCCTACTCACAAAAAGGTTATTACAGCGTAAAGTTTTACGAACAAAATGTTAAGGAATCGTCAAAATTTCGATTTTTCCGATTTTTCTCATATTCACTTCACAAGAACGTGCCAAACGATGTATTACAAAGTTGTAGTCCTGGTTTTACTCTTTCTAACGATACCCTTGCCATTTCTCTGCATTTTGTTTGCGATGAGTTCTGAGATTTTTCCCGGAGTCACTTTTAGACAAATATAGGAAAGAGTGCCCACCGCAGAAGCAAAATTGAGTTCCTAGGTGTTTTACTACCACATGTGGTAGTAAAAATCCCGACCAGACCGGCTAATCCGGATTTTTAAAAATTACTTATATCCGGATACTTGGGAAAAAATAACTGAATTTCGGACTGGGGACCGGGTAAGTGTACTTTTTACCTCTTCAGCCAACTTCTTGACTGTTTATTTAATAGATTTCCATATAAATACAATGGAAACAAATATTGGAGAATATTCCGTAAGCTAAAATCACTCAATCAATTGTTCTATCTCCTCTAAATGTTTCTCTAAATGCAAATTTATTATTTTTTGAGTGTAAATTGTCTACCTGATTCCGGATCGGGTACCACGGATAGCGTTTTCCTCCAGACCGGGTACCGGATACTCGAACACCTCTAATCGTGAACAATCAACTTTATCACATTCACTCGCCAGTTAGAATCCTTTTTACGTGCGGTTTAAAGAGTCTGACCCAAAAGCGACGCAGAGCGCTTTCTAAAGCGTGGATACACTACCGTACCCCGCACAAAATTCCCCTTTTGCCATTCTTTCCACTTTTCGGCACTCTGTCCGGCTTTTATGCCGAGTCCCGCTAAGTTTTCTTCCTCCTTCGTAAAATCTATGGTGTTCTTGTAGCACGTTTTTAAAGTACCCCCTCTGCCCACCTTCGTTTCCTCTTTTTTATATTGTTCTGCCCATGTTTTCTGTTTAAATTTCTAAAATGTTTTTATTTCGTTTCTCTCAGCTCCCTGCTACTCCATTGTCTTCGAATCTTTTTGTACTTGCCATATAAACTTAATTTAACCAATTCCTTTTAACTAAAGCGCAAATCTAAATAATCTGTCACGGCGCGATCTTCTTGTTACTTTGTGTCAAATTATTCTAGAGAAGGGTTGGTAAGTCTAAAGGTGTTAGGTAAGGAAGTTAGTTACTAATTCGTCATCAGGTTTGATGATTTGTGACCCATCAAATGAGCAAGATTCTTGCGTCAGATTATTTGAAGACAGTTGTCATTTTGTTGCATCAAAGTAACGATGAGTCAGGCTAATGGCAAGTATTAAGCACCTGTTAGTCTGACACTAGTGAGCGCTGCAGTTTCAAATAAGCAAACTGAATGAAGTTTGAAAACGCTATTCGCATTTAACTGTTTTTGAATTGTTTAAGATTTTTGAATAGTTACAATGTAAAGTTTATTTGCAGAATCACTTTGTCAGCCTAACAGATGACTTTCTGACTCTAGAATTGTTTTTATACTGTGGTGATATTCAATTTATTATTGGTTTCACGTGCGAAACTTTTCGCCATTTTTTCACTTCTTATTAGCTGCTTTAATGATTTAGAATGTCTTTTAGTGACTAGCGAAAAGCACACATTTCAATCGTCCAAAGGTATACATCGTTGTCGCAACGAAGAATAAGAGCCGATGATTTATAGACAACGAAGCGACTCATGTAAAAAGGGAATATGACGACGAATTCTCGGCTGAGGTAAATAATGTCTTAATAAATTTTTTGAATATTCAAACTTTAGACAAAATGCAGCCACTATATTTGATGTTTTTTGTGAAGTCGCTAATGTCGATTCGGAGCCGGTGATGCTTCAGAAATATCCAGAAGTAATTTTTCAACAGAAATTAGGATCAAAATGCAATTCTAAATGGAATTCTGCTTTTTGTAGTGTTTTTTGTCAATAAATGATCAACAAAAGCAAAGTTTTAAAACACTTGTACTTAAAAATAACAAATTAATGGCATTTTCAGGACTTTTGCGATGAGCCCACATTGAAATCGATCCTCCAATTTGCGTTTCCCTTTCGCACAAATGAGTCAGTGACTTCTGCAATTAATTGAACATTAAAATTTCAGAGATTCCGGTGAAGCAGTGCAATTATTTTCCTTTGTTCTCACCGATGCCCAATCGCTTTATACGTTTGGCTTCTGTCGCTCGATGCCGAAAACAAATAGCTGCATTGTGATTCTCAGGTAGAATATAATTAAAAAAATGGGAAATGGTAGAGAATTATAGTTTTTACAAGGTTGAAATAGAAAAACTTTACGTGATCCGGGATTTTGGGACATTTGTTTCGCGCCCCGCACCTTTCCCATTAGCAATCCAACTTTGAGCTCAAATTTCTTGGTGTTGGGCTGTTCAATTTAAATAGTTTTTGTACCAATCGACAGAGAAAGACTTTGTGCGTCTAATGATATCAAGGATGTTTAAATTGGATAACCCAGCACCAAGAAATTTGAGCCCAAATTTAGATTGCCAGATGGCAAATGTCCGATAACCGATTATCCGGGCTTTGTAGCATTAAGATATCAGTTTCAGCGGTTTCCCGTGGGATGGCTTTTTCTACAAATTGCTCAATCACATTTCAGTGGTCATGCTCAGTGGAAAGGTGAGCTGATATAGAAAATCGAAATATTATATTCTAATCCAGCAATCCGATCTTGAGGGAATTCTAACGAAAGCCTATCACACAGATATCCCCACAGCTGGCGAACAACTACGAGTCAGCACATTCGAGAACACTTATGTTAGTTTTGGCTATAAAAACATTTCTTCATTCTAGACTTGAACGCTACCAACTACAAGGCCAGACTATAAACGCTTGTAGATACTCGTAGAATGGCTATTTTTTACAAACTGTTTTTACCAAAAAATGGAGCCAACTTTGGGCTTTTGAATGACACCAAGATCAGACCAATCCATCATCTCTGCGCTGGATAATAACGTTTTTTCTAGACTTGTAGTCCTAGCCCATAAGAAGAGACTCCAAACTGCTATAAATAGCATGTTATCGATGGTGGATTGGCCTGATCTTGGTGTCATTCAAAAGTCCAAAGTTGGCTCCATTTTTTGATAAAAACAGTTTGTAAAAATAGCCCATCTACGCGTTTCTACAAGTGTTTGTAGTCTGACCTTGTTTGTAACGCTCATGTCTACTTCATTCTGCTTTAGCTGCTGGAGTTGACCGTACCTGACATTTCCTCCTTACCAACATTGCGAGATGACAAGTACATGCTCGAATTCTACAATGCAATAACCCCAGCACAAATGATTGCTCTGTATTCAAGGTTGGTTTAACGGAACGGCTAAGTTGCCTAATGCAAAGGAAACGATAAAAGTGTACTTAAAAATATCATATTATTTTTGATGCAGTTTGTATAAACCTTATATCCAACAAGCTACGGTAGTTGTAAAGATTGTAAATTCAAACCCCAGGTAGCTTTACTGCTAACACTGCTAACAAATAAGCTTTTCAGTTTGCTTAAAGAAAGACGCATCATCTTCACTGGCCGAAAGTTATCTCAATTGAGTAGTTGTGTGCAAGCAGCAAGCACAATTCTTTATCCGATGTTTTGGTAAATTTTAAAACCTATCAAAAAAGTTTCTTTATTTTTAGGCAATACTTGTACATTCCTGTTCTACCAGAAACCCTTGTCGATATGCTGCAAGCGCCGATGCCTTTTCTCATTGGAGTTCCTAAACAAGTTGTGGATACAGATGTAAGTTGTTCTTTTTTTTTGCTTTAAACAAAGTTTTCTAGAAAGTACGTGATCTTGGCGATGTAATGGTGATTGATCTCGAGCATCGAACGTTGAAGGGAACTCATGATGATACGATTCATCTGCCAGCAAATGTTTGTTTTAATCAGCTCCGTATCAAGCTAATCTATGCCAAGATACATCTTGAACTGGTTTTGAACCATTATGGATAAATTTCAGGTCCTACAACAACTAAAGAATGATCTGAAGAGTGGACCAGGAATGGGTGACGGCTTATCTCGAGCTTTTCTCAAAGCAAATGTGAATTTGTTTGGAGGATATCGACTTGGATTCACGAGAAAAGAGGAAACCGGGGTAAACTATTACTTTAATTTTCGTAATTTTGACTTGTTTAGGTGATCACGTGGGATAAAGCAAAATTCGTTGCCGAACAGCGACCAAGTCTGCAAAACTTTCTCAGTTCTTTAGTTGCTGAAGATGGGGTTCAGTATTTGGAAAGAGTAGGTTCAAATTCTATTGTTAGTGAAATTATATTTGTACTTCAGTTTATTGAAGAACGAATCAAAGCTTTAAATCTTGGAGTACCAATAAATGATGCATTTGAAAAGGCGGCCAATTCACTGGAGATCAAGTTGAGAGCACAGGTTGGTAGATTTTGAAGAACAAGAACAAGGAAAAGGCTAAAAACTTGATTTCAGACTAAAGACAGCGCTGCTGATGTACTCGGTGCAATCAAAGATAAAATGAGTGCGATTCAGGTAAAGCTCGATCTGTGTACTTATCTAGAAAGTTTCTAGATCAAAGACAAAATTGGAAAGCTCAATCCGAGAGAGCTGGGAAAAAGCGCTACCCGAAAAGTTCAACTCCGAAAAAGTGGCCATGAAAAGTTGAATGGGAAAATGCCACTATCATTTGATAACATTCAATGGACTGAAGAACAGGTACAGCTTTAGCCCTAACAAGTGTTGTACTTACAGAAATCGAATATTTGGACTATAAAATGGATTTTCAGGTTAGCAATGATTCATCACGGAGTGTTTCACCGGCTGAGAAAGCGGATGAGACAGGAAATGTGAGTTACTATTGGATTTTAGCAATGATTTAACTTCATTTTTCAGATTGATTTGATTGATTGGACATCTGATGTTATGGATCCTTTGGAAGAATTTGATCCTTCTACATCATATGCCGGTCATACTCCACCACCAAGTGAGAACTTACTATGGGATAAAAGCACCAAGTGAAGCTCTATACAGACACTTTGCTTGCATAATTTCAAGTTGTTGCATTACAGAAAAGCCAGTTAGCTCATTGTCAGCAGCTGGAAGGTCAAAAGTTCGTGTCCTGTCCGTTATTTATTAGCAAAGCTCAAAAAAACAAATAAAATCATCAAATTTCTAGTACCCTCCTCATCCAATCCCCTCGATACCCCAATTGCCGCTCCTCGTCGATCAATCCCAACCTCGGTCCAACCATTGGCTCCCGCGAAACCACCAAGGTACATTTTACCATAAGTTCTTTGAAAAATTAAAGCTAAAGGACTAAGAAAGCTGATAACAGCTAGAGGCAAAAGCTTATCTAAACTTTTCAGTCAAGACAACTATCGCCCGCCGATTCCATTCAAAGGACCAGTCGGTCAAGCAGCAACCATGACAATGAATTACAATCCGTTCAAAACACAGTGAGTCTTTAAATAGCTGAGTACTACATCAGCAATGCTGCTGTTAAAGTGACACAATGGTTGAAAAGGATGTAGAATTTGTAGCGCGATTTAACCTTAAATTTTAGAGTAACTGATTCATTCCCGAAAAAGTTTCCACCATCAAAGCCAATTGCGAAGACAAATCCTGGAAGTCATAGCAGCTGGGAGAAATTCGATTAAAAAGATTTTGATTTTAGGTGCTTTTAATGTCTTTCTGAAAATTTAGCAACAATTATATATTACAAATTTCTGTGCATTTTTGTGAGTTTTACATTTTACTGTGATCTTCAACTGGTAGTAAATCTTTGATTTCATAATATATTTTAATCTTTGTTTAATTTTAAGCTAACTAGTCATGTAATAAACCAAATTTATCACGATTTTGAAAGAATCAAATGAAATAAAGATTTTTAGATTTTTTTATACTCAAATTATCAGAGAACAGCCATTTTGAGACAAAAGTTTACGTTTTTCTTGTCTCTTTGATATAATTGGGGAAAGAAAACTCGAGAAAACTTAAAACATTTCCCCTTTTGTTTCATGATTTTCTGGTCATTGATATTTTCTCTATTTATCGGGTTTGTTTCTTTCAAAAATCAATAATCAATCAATTTTAGAAAGTCTTTATCTTTATGGAAACCATTTGTTGATTCATTAGTGAAAGAACTGAATTTGGCTGCTAATCCATGCAATAATCTACAAAATTTCATTTGTGATGCCAACTTTCCCATTGGAAATCTTTCTTTTTATGAAAGACTTGGTTTTATAAAACCTGGCCCACTCGGACCACAATGCGACATGGAAACGAATATTGTTGTTTGTTCATTTTTCTGTTCACGAATATTCTTCTTTGTTCATATTATTGAATTTTTGAGAAAATTTTAGAAAATATTGAGAAGAATAGCTTCAAAATTTGATACAAATGATTTAAAGAAAGAATCGAGTGAACGAATGGAGTTTGAATTTGAGAAAGTTAGGTGAGTTTGATTTTTATTGTGATAAACTCAATCGAAACCAAAATACGATTGTAATTCAAACTTCAAAGTATCCAAAGTAAAAGAGTAGACAGAAAATATTCTGTCTTGCTACTTGAATACCCTAAATACTGTAATAGTACCCCATCCCCATAATGACGGTGCGGAGTGTTGCGTAGTCTAGCTTTGAACGCGTTTTTCTCGACACTGGTTTATGCTACAATATGCGCTTAGTTATCAAAAAATAGCTGAAATTCAGGGCTATTTTTTCATACCAAAGACGCATTTTTTGAAAGTACAAGCGCTTTGAAAAAAATGAAATACTAAAAACTTTTGCGACTACGCGACTGTACGAGAGGGGTGGGTACTATTAAAGTATTTACGGTAGTTATTTAGCATAAGAAATGTGATTGATATTTACCTTATCTTTAAGATTTTTTACATTTTAAACTACAGCCAAATCTCGATATAATTTCGATTTAATGATCTCAATTTTTGCTATTTACCTATTGAAAGCTATTTACCTTATAAAGATGTTCGATTTAACGATTTACTTGATTTAACAATGGAAAAATCCTTGGAGAATCGATGGAGAATCGTTAAATCGAACTTTAACTGTATTATAAACCTTCAACTACAATATTTAAAGGGGAAAAAACTTTTTTGATTCATAAATATTATCACTTAATTAATTCAAAAGTTACAGATGGGATTGCGAGAGAAATTTGACTTGTTATGAGGAAAAATTTCGCTTTTACACTGCTCTTTTTCACCATGCAGATGCGATGAAAACTTTTCAATTACCTGAGAACAAAAACGTTTATACGATGAGAGACGCAGTGCATCAAGTGCTCAAGGTCATCGATGAGAAAAGTTTTGACGATTTTGAGGTACTTTTTGGAAATGAAATGAAATAAAAGAAATAAAAAAAGCTAATTGAATTTTACATTGCAAAAAAGCTAATTGAATTTGAAAATGATGTTGATTTTCATTTGCAAATGACTTTTTTTAGGCATTGAAATGGTTACATGCTTTGGCAAGTCGTCGTTGCTCTGCCTATTACACGTGGAAAGCAAATCGAACACCGTATCGAATGGCTGAATTCTATAAACAATTGATTCGAGTGCACAATGCGGTTTTTCAAGCAACGAAAGGACTAATAGAGGTGAGAAAGAGCTAATTCGAAAGTATTACACTTTAACACATTCGCGACGAGGCGCTTTTTTTGCGTTACTGTCCCAGTGGACAAGGGGAGTCTCGCAAAGCTATTAGCCCCGAAATACATCTCCTATATGTAAAATTTCATACTGAATCCGAATCTCTAATCATATTTTGAAAATATTGCTGCCTCAAAAAGAACTAATCGAATCTTTTTACATTTTGAAATTATCTTAAAAAGTCGAGAAGTTATAGCGCGTCAAAAATTTCGTCCACCGGTAGACCGAATCGTCCCAGGGGCCAGACGGCCTTCGTCCACCGGTGGACCGAATCGTCCCAGGGGCCAGACGGCCTTCGTCCACCGGTGGGCCGAATCGTCCCAGGGGCTAGACGGCCTTCGTCCACGGGTGGACCAAATCGTCCCGAACGTGTTAAGGAAAAGTCAAACTCCTCATTTTGTCAAATTTTCATTGAAAAGAGCTGAAAGAACCCTAGCGTTTTGCACTTTGGAAATTTTTATTTGAATTTTGATTACGGAAATGAGGAACAAGCAATTTGCGAGTTTAGCTTAGAGCTTAGAGCTGCAATGTACTTAGAGTACTTAGATGTACACTTAGAGTACACTTAAATGCAATGTACTTAGAGTATGCAAGAAACAAGCTAGTTTTCGTTTTAGAATCTATTGAAAACCTTATTTAGAGTAGAATTTGTTCCTCTCGAGTAATGCACTTTTTAAAATGCCTTGTAAAATGGCTCAGTAAAATGCACTTATTTTACAAAAATACCGTAGTCAAACAGTTAGTTGACATTTAATCAATCCGTTTTTGGCATTATTCGATGAAGAATTACAAGGCTCAGTTAATGATTTGAAAATCGGGCTGATTGTAAACTAATAGTTTGACTATGGTGCTTTACTTGTGCTTTACTTGAGAGAAACACATTCTAATTTAGAGCGATTCAATCTCCAATGAAACCAAGTGGAGAATTGATCTCGATCGTGTCTCCTTCTTCACTCCTTACGATATTTACTACAATACACCCGAGTTCATCAATTCAATCTATAATCTTTATGAAATTGATCAATTAAGAGAGAAAGCTTCAAAGTAAGTTTTTAAATTAAAGCTTTTCTAAAAATAACATTTACACAAATAATGTAGTAAAAAAATGCACAAGCACAATCCATAAGCCCTAAATGTAGAGAAGAAAAAAAAATGATAATCTACCCAGCGGAATTGGAACCTTAATCTCTTCACTAGGATACAGGGCTCTTACCCAGTCCGCCATCGCTGCATTTCTAGATCCACATCAATGTTCGATATGAAACTACAATTGTTGAACACGTCGAGGAATGCTCATGTGAAGATGGCGACTCTCGGAGTGGATCGGCCACTTGAAATTATGAGGTTTGCAAACCTTTTTCACAAATTTCTTTTACATTTGACTGTTTTATACAAAGCTTTACTGAAACTTTACCTCTTTTCAGCTTTGTAACTAAACCGACAAACCGAAATTCGACAATGGAAAAACTTAGTGCTTTCATTGAACACAACTTGTCGTCTCCATTAAAGGTGAGTAAAATTGAGAAATTATTTAGAGATATTTAGAGATTTATTATCAATTAGATTTAGAGAGATTTCAATCTAATTCTAAGCTCTTTAAGCTAAACCAGGCGAGACCAGGGTCAAGGTCAAGACAAGTTGGTTGTAGCTCTAGCTTGTAGCTTCGCTATATCATGAAGCTGGCTCAAAGTCCTGGTCTGGCCATGCTAGGAAATACTAAAACTAGAGCAGGATCTAGCTTGAGCTTAAGTTAGAAGACTTTTGATTTTGAAAACGGTCCTTAGAAAATCAATCTTTAGTTTGCTACCGTCGGCTTCCTTGTGGCCAACGAAATTCTCGATCAAATTTGGCCTAATAATGATAAGAATGAGAATTCGATAACAATTGAATCAGGGGTTTTTCATTTCGAAAATAATTACCGATAACTTTTTGTTCAACTCTTAAAAAAATTACCGATAACTAATGTTTAGAACTGTACTGAAAAGCTTAATCAGAATACTGCCGCCTTAGTGATCGCTTGGAATGCTTTACTACAACAAAAATCTTTATTATATTTACAAGTAAGCTTTAGAGTTTAACAAGTTTTAAAAAAGATAAAAGATTTATAAAAGGCTTATTTCTATATTCCTAATTTTCTAAATTCTAAATTTAGAGTCCAATTCCAACAAAAGTGCGCGTTTTCTCTCGAGGACAACTCTTTTTTGTTGCCGCTGGTGTTCATTTTTGTTCTGATTTAAAAGATTTGCCTCAAAAATTATTTCAAAAATTTGATCAAATCTTTTATTGTTCAAATGTGAGTTTTATATGTGATAAGAATGAGAATAATATGAGAATTGATTTAGGGAGAAAGTAATGAGACTTGTAGCTTCGATTTTATTGGTATTTCAAAGGTTTGGGTCTTCAAGTGGCCTTCAATCTTCAACAAGATTTCACTTATTTAGATGAAAGATACGAAAATTGGAGATAAAAGTACTGAAGAATCTGGAGAATCTGTGGAAACATTGATTGAGTCAAAAGAGATTACGGTAAGAATGAATTGGAAAGATTTCAATGAGATTTTAGACCACTGCTTCACCAAATACCCAGAAATTCACAGCATTTTTCTCGAGAACCACAAAAAAACCCAAAGTGATCACTACAAATACTTTCAAGAAACAAATTACGGTAGCCAAGTCAGCAAATACAACGTAAGTTTTGAGAATTGTTCTGCTCTGTAAGTCAAGACAAAGTTTAGAAATAATACAGCTAAATTCTAACTGGGTTTTCAGAGAACTCTTTGTCTTTTAAAGTTAATATCTATTTTTTTTAGTTTATTTAAAAGTGTTGATCTAAAAAAAACCTCATCTCCTCTATCAATACCTCTTGGAAGATTGGTAAATTAAATCCTTTTTGAGTTGTTTAATTCCGATTCAGGCTGACAACTTGACTCATCCCATCATCTTAAACCTGAACATAACCATTATCTCAAATACAGGAAAGGTTGAATTAAAAATTGTTCAATAAAAGTTTTATTGAATGGTTTGAATGGATTGGTTTAGATGCTATTCATCGATAAATCAAAAATCCATAAAAGAAAATGACTGGTAACACTTTATAAGGATAACACTATTACTGACCGAAAGGAGATCCACCTTGATCTGAATAGTGATTGGAAAACCGAGAATCAAAACCTATTTTCTCTAACTCTAACATTTAGTGCAGAATGCAAAGTAGATTCCAAAATCAAAATTACCCAAACTTTAACAGAAACCAAGTCTGTTAGGTTGTCCCATAAAAATCCAGAGGTTTTTGTTTTGATCAGTACTTGCTCACAACACAACGTTTTGTATTTTTCTTTTTTCTTTTCCATGCTAAAACTTTCTTCTTTCTTGCACTAACATTCATTTTTTAGCGATCGAAACGAGAAGAAAGTTGCAGTCGATCGAATGAAGCCAACTCGAGAAGAAATCCACGCTCTACTACTCCAACGATTTTCAAGAGGGACTTCAGCGGCCAAAGCAGCACGAGAAATCAATCAATTTTATGGTAACAAAATCGTTGGAACGAGTACTGCATAGGAATGTTTTTACAAATTCAAGAGGGGCAACACGAGGATCAAATGGAAGAGGGGAAGCGGTCGACCCCGAAAAATGGACTGACTCGAGGACGAATTGAACGACTATTTTCGCTCGCGCCTGCTTGGATTTTACGAACGAGGGATTGGCAAGCTACGCAAACGTTAGAGAAAAGTTATAAATTCATCCGGAAAATATATACAGGGTGACCAGAAATAACGTTGCGGGATTTTCGGCAACCTAAAATTCTCAAAGTTTCAATTTTGGGAGACGAATTTATTTTTAACCTATTCTCTGTGATTGTTTTTATTAGTTTCTTTGTTGTTTTACTTTGTTTCAAGTCTATTCATTTTTTTATACGATGACAAACAAGGGATCTGCCATTCTGGAGCTTCATCGTCAAGGTGAGTGCAACCGCGCGGTTGCTACGTGTTTCTCATCAGCTCGTCTCAAAAGCGATTAAGCGATACAAGGAGCTTGGCAACGATGGAGATCGTCCAGGAAGAGGCAGAAAAAGAACAGTCAATAGCTCCAGAAATCGCAAAGTGATTCAGAAGCGCGTGGTCCCGAATCCACAGGCCTCAATTAGAAAGATCGCTCGACAGACGGGGATCGCTCGTGAATCGGCTCGACTTATGGCCAAAAATGAGCTCAATCTTCACCCTTACAAGCTCAAACAAGGGCAACAACTCGACGACGACAACAAACGAGTTCGACTCGAAAGATGTCGAGAGCTTCTCAAGCGGGCCGCAACTCCACACTGGGAGCGAATCCTGTTTTCTGACGAGAAGCTCTTCTCGGTGGAGCAAAGCTACAACCACCAAAACGATCGGATTTGATCAACGTCCTCTCCAGGCAACTCTGCGATTGTTCAACACCGACAAAATCCCAAATCGGTCATGGTATGGGTCAGAATCTGCGCAACCGGAAAACTCCTCATTTTCATCGATTCTGGGGTAAAAATCAATAAGGATGTGTATCAAAAAAAGATTCTTGAGGGGAGTTTTGCTTCCATGGGCTCAACAGCATTTTGGTAACGGACTTTGGACCTTCCAACAAGACCCCGCTCCTTCTCATCGAGCCAAATTCACACAGGACTGGTGTAGGACAAAGTTCCGGATTTCATCTCGGCCCAGGAATGGCCTCCGTATTCGTGCGATCTCAATCCGTTGGACTACAGTCTTTGGTCAATTTTGGAGGCAAGGACTTGTGCAAAACCCCACAAAAGTTTGGAGGCTCTTAAGCGATCGTTGACCAGGGAATGGGATCAAATCACTCCGGTCGAGCTACGGTCCATCGCCGAAAACTTCATCAAGCGTTTGAGGCTCTGCATCGGGGCCAAAGGTAGCCACTTTGAAAGAAAAGTAGATTTTATGCTCTCTTTATATCATGTTGTTAATAAAAAATTGTTTCTGTTACAAAATCTTTTTGGATTTATAAAAAAATAGGCTAAATTAGGCCGCAACGTTATTTCTGGTCACCCTGTAATTTAATTCTGATTCTTCGTTGTTTCTATGTGTTTAAATTAAATGAAATTCAAAATCACTGGGTTTTTATGGGACAATCTAATAATTTTCATTCGAAAACTTGACTCAGTTAATTACTTAAATCTAACATCATTATTTCGAACGCATGACGAATTGAAAACTGTTCTAGAAACTTTTTGCATAACTTTTCTAGAAAATGTGTTCTGATTTCCACATTTCAGCAAGGCCTCCCCAAGGAAATTTCAATTGGGCACACATTTTGATTAATTATTTATCATTTACACATGTTTTCGCTAATCATGCGATTCTTTATTGAAAGAAATCTTCAACAAATAGAGTGAAGTTTGATGAAAATATGCAGGAAAGAGTAGAACACAGATTTCCGCTTTTCTTAAAGAAAAGGATATTGTTTTTAATTGTTGTAAACAAATTGATTAGACTAAATCGTCAATTATTATTTGTAGTCGGTAATCGAGAGTTTTTCTAACTTTTAAAAACCTTGGGGTACATATTTGCAAAAAGATGGGAGTTCGCTTCTATTATGCAATTCAATTAAAGAAGATTTTCTAATCTGGTACGAGATTCTAGACATTTTCATACAGGGTGCGGCATAAGTATGGCTACAAGGTTGTAACATTGATTTAAGAAACTGATTGATTTTTATTTCTTGCCAAAGGATTATTTTCTCTTAATTTGAATGCTTTTTTATATTATGTAACAGTTTTTAAGCAAATTTTTAAGTTTGGACATAATGGTGAAGGCTTCTCCCAACCGTGCCGCTATTCTTCAGCTTGGAGCACAAGGACGATCAACTTCGGATATTGCCCAACTGCTGAAAATGCATCGAATGACGGTATACCGCATTTTGCAACAAAATAGAGTAGAAGAGCTTCCTAAAAGTGGACGTCCGCGAAAAATTGATCACACGAGACTCAAGAAAATCATTAAGAAACGAATCCAGCGCAATCCTGCCCGGAGCATGAGAAAAATGGCTCCCCAATTGAATGTTTCTGATAGAACTATCCGTCGTATCGTCAAAAAGGATCTGGGTCTTCACCCTTACAAGTTAAGGAAGCATAATGGCCTGACGGATCTTCAAATGAGAAACAGGAAGCAAAAATGTGCTCTTCTTCTTGCAAGGGCCGCAAATGATGAGCATCTGACGACGCTTTTTACGGACGAGAAATTATTCAACATTGAGCAAGTTTTCAACTCTCAAAATGATCGAATTTTGGCTCACAGCCCTCAAGAAGCAAATAAAAGTGGCCGATATGTGGACAGGAACTCACATCCAGCAGGAGTCATGGTTTTTGCAGGGGTGTAAGCAACTGGTCGCACACCGTTGATTTTCGTTGATAAAGGGCTGAAAATTAACACAGACGTGTATCTGGACGTTCTCACAAAACATGTACAGCCGTGGAGTCAAGGACATTACCAAAATCAGCGCTGGACATTGATGCAAGACGGCGCCCCAGCGCACAAAGCAAAAAAGACTCAAGAGTGGTGTCGAAACAATTTGCCCGACTTCATTCCCGCCAATGAATGGCCAGCTAATTCGCCCGACCTCAATGCTATGGATTTCTGTGTTTGGGCAATTTTGGAGCAAAAAGCATGCACAACAAAACATGCAAACGTTGAAAGTCTGAAAAAGGCTCTGAAGAAAGCCTGGGCGGAAATTCCACAAAGTACCCTGCGGGCCGCCGTGGAAAGTTATCCAAAGCGTCTTAAAGCCGTTATCAAGAATAAAGGTGCCCATATTGAATAATTTGTTGTTTTTAAATGAATATGATTACTGTTGTTAATTTTAAATAAAGTTTGCATGAATCCGTTCATATTTCGTTACGATACACGGTTCTGAGTCTGTAACCATACTTATGCCGCACCCTGTATTTCTAGACATTCTAGACATATCATTTTCATAGATCTAGACATTCTAGACATACAGTCGGCAAAAAAAGTCTTGCACCATTGTCTCTCAGAGACTTAAAACAAAAAATTTTCCGTAAAAATAATCGTTTCAGAGAAAACTTTTTCACAACTAATTCTACTATTTTTGTCTAGCTTCCGGACATATTAGCCATTTTTATTACAAGCGACTCCTTTTTACGTAAAACAAAGTTTTATCAGAGACAGCCGGTTTAGAAAGCAAAAAAGTCTTGCACCATTGTTGTATTCTGTTGTTTACTATGGTATAGACGACATTTAATGCCTTCTCCGTTTGTACTTTCAGTAACTCGACCATGCTGAATTTAAATCTGAAAACTGTTTATTTCTACCTCTCTTAGTTTGTGAGATATGCCAACTTATTTTGTATACAGACAAAAGTATGGAAAAATACTGTATTTCTGTAGTTTACTATGGTATAGACGACACTTTTTGTCTTCTCCGTTTATATCTTTAGCAATTCGACTATGCTGAATTCAAATCTGAAAACCGTTTGTTTCTAGCTCTTTTAGTTTTTGAGATCACTATACCCCAATTATAGAACCTAGCTGATAGATTTTAGTGTTTGAAATCTTCTTGAAGCAAAAACGTACTCTAAACCGGATTCCAGCATCGATTCGCTTAAGGCTTAGGCTCTTCAAAAAGCATGGGTAAACTCGATGCCGCTATTTGGCCATTTGATAATTCCCAAATTTCACCAAGCCTGTATTTCTGATCTTTTTTAAATCTTCTTTAATGACTCATTTTTTGTTCGAAAAACTTGAAAGCTCTTCTTTCTACGCTAGACAACAGACAACAGACAACAGACAACAGACAACAGACAACAGTTAACAGACAACAGACAACATTTCTGACGCTAATCAAATCAGCCTTAAACTTGAAACATTGAACTTTTCTCTTCGCTAAACCAGGAATATACCCAATCTAGTCAAAAATTGAAGTTATTTTCATGAGATTTCATTTTCCACCTCGTGCTCACTTCAAACTTTTCAACCAATTTACAATTTTCACAATTTTCACAACTTTTCAACCTATTATCTTCTTTTTTTTGAGGCCATTCATGTCCGAAACCAATTACAGCCACTATCACAAGGTTTGTGAGTTAGATAAAAAAAAGAAACAAAAACAAAAAAGCTAAAAAAGATTCAATTGAAAATCCCAAGAGATTTAAAAAGTTGTAAACATTCTAAAAATTTAAATCTCGAAAAATTAAAGCAAAAGAAAAAAGTAAAAAAGATTTTTGGCAAAGATCGGGTATCTTTTTTTAATTATTTTCTTTTTTCTTTGCAACAAATTTAATTATTAAATTTTCAAATTCAATTTTTTAACTTGATTATCTACAAATTTGTGACGTTTTAACGGTTTGACGGTTTTATTTACGTCACAATCCTCAAGAGGGGAAATGTCTACTTCAAAGCTCAAGGTCACTCCAAAAATGTGGAAAATTTGCTTGAATACTGTCTGTGCAAAAAATTTGAACATTTCTGACGACGAAATTACCATTTTCAGAGTCTAGACATGAATTTCCTGACCGGATAAGAACTTATAAACTTTTTCAACTCTAATCAATCAACGATCTTCACCAGAGTTCCCCTTGTCTACTAAAAGGCTATATTTTTGTCATTATCAAACTTCAGCTTACATTTGATCAGCTTTTAGATTGATTTGATTCTTTTTTTATTTAGTTTCATTGAACCTTGTGATTCTTCATTGAATCATACCAAAATCCTAATAAATTTGCAAGGCAAAGACTCGAACCCGAGCAAAAAGTGCGGGAATTGCTTTGTATCCAAGTACCTTATCCACTACGCCATTAGCTTATGTTGGCTTGCTGCGAGAAAAGCTCCTTTAAAGATGTTTAAGCGAGATGTTGTCTTTTTGACTTTGACTTTTAAGTGAAATATCTCGAGTCTTATGAGAAGCTAATTTTTTTTTGCGGTATTTTGTTCAGCTTAGTCGATTCTATAACTTTTTGGATAGAATGATTCGCTTGGGACCGAAAACTTCAATATAAAGAACCTAAAAAATGTCGCAAATTTTCTACAGAGCTGGACGGTCACTGATTGCATTTGGCTGGGACAAAACGCAGAAATTTTCGTCACTTTTTAGAATCTCAAATTCGTTGTAAGTTCGTTTTATCAAAGCTCGACTTTATATTTCATTTTGTTAATATTATTCACTAGTTTCTTTCAAGATTTCGTTGCGAGCCATTCTGATTGTGATCCTTCATTGAATCTTTCCAAAATCCTAACAAATTTGCAAGACGAAGACTTGAACCCGAGCAAAAAATGCAGAAATTTCTTTGTATCCAAGCCTCTTATCCACTAGTCCATCAGCCCCTATCGGCCCCTACGAGCAAAGCTGGTTTAAAGATGTTTAAGCGAGATGTTGTCTTTTTGACTTTTCAGTGAAATATCTTGTAACTGAAATAGCCCAAATCGGTTCCACTTTTTTTGGCTTTCACCTAATTTCAATCCAAAATTGAAACCATTTCACGTGCCTTTTGTCTATCAATCGTCATTTTACGAGAATCACACTCATTTAGAATATTTTCGTCTCTAAACAAAATCCCTTTCTCCTTTTTATCACTCATCTCATTTCCCCCGGATACTTTCCGTGAACTTTATCACTCTAAATTGAACATCCCCAAATTTCCTATAAACCTTTTTTTACTTCTCAATCTAAAAATTTAATTAATATACAGTAATATTCTAGGATAATCCATTTTATTTGGGTTTTTCATTAATTTCTTGCAACAGTTCCTTGCGAGCCATTCTTGGAACTGAAATAACTGTAATTGAAAGTTCAAAAAAGTTATAAGTCTTTGATAGAAAGCGAACTTGAAATACTTTCAAAGGCCACTTTTCTTTTTCTTTTGAAACTATAAATGTACATTTTCCAAAATCTGTTCTTTAATTTCAACTTCAAAACTACAAAAATCTTCAAAAGTACCAATTAAAAGTGATAAATTGGAACTTGATGAGAGTTTGGTTTAAAGAATAGATTTTCCTGACTATGCAATGGCTCTTTAAAACAAAAAAACTTGACGTTGTGTTCTGCTTACAATTATGTTTATTGTTTTTCATTACAGTAGCATCCAGTCTTTACGGTAAAACGATTGAGATTACTCTATTGAAACTAAAGGAGTCAGTATTTTGGAGCTAAGCTTGGAGCCGTTCAGTTCCTTCTAAACTTATAAAATCTTTCTGCATTCTGCATCTGCATCTGCATCTGCATTTCTGCAAGTAGTCAAAATCGACGGGTTGGTGCTGAGAGAAACATGACAAAAAAGACTGACAGATGTTTTTGTTATAAATCTAGTTTCTTCATATAGTTTCAAGCAATCAGGTTAGCCAGATCAGTTCTAGAACTCTAGATCAGTTCTAGAGCTCTAGATCATTTCTAGAACTCTAGATCAGTTCTCGAGCTCTAGATCAGTTTTAGAACCCTAGATCAGTTCTAGGACTCTAGATCAGTTCTAGAGCTCTTGATCATTTCCAGAACTCTAGATCATTTCTAGAACTCTAGATCAGTTCTAGAGCTCTAGATCAGTTCTAGATTCATTCAAGGAACATGTGCTTTATGCAGCCTTTTTATCTTACCTTTTATCAAAGGTTGGTTCATCAATTTTTTGATATTTCACAAAATCTAAGCTATACTTTACTGATAAAACAGCGATTTTCTTCAAGTTCTCATGTATAAGAAATGATTTAAATGATAAGTCACTTCCAAAGTTCTAATGTTAAACAGGGAACTTTCAAATTTCTTTTAAAGCTTACCTGGAAGTACGAAAAACTGCTAAATGTACATGGTTACTTATCGAATTAAATCCACTTGCGCCATTCGTTAATTGTCTCAAAAAAGCACTAAATGAGGAAACAAAGATCATGCAACAAAGAAATACAATACTATTCCCCTCATTTCATCCCTCTTAATCACATTAATTATAGATTTCTCAAAGGGGATTCTTTTATGTCAAGAAAAACAGTCAAAAGAAAACTGTGTGGGTTAGAGGGGGATATTCTCAAGGGATATTTAACGGGGGAAAAAGCTCCACCCAAATACTCATTTCCATTTCATTTTCGTCAATCATTCTGTTTTTCCCGCTTCAAATTTTGTTTCTCTTAATTGATGACTAGTTTTTTTTCTCGATATATCAAATATTTAAACCAATTTTTACAAAAATTTCACTAACTTTTGCCAAAATGAAAAGTTTGTTTTGGTCGATTAATTTTAGAATTTCATATTTATAATACTATTTTGTTTTATAGCTTTAATTTACTTTACTAATTGACTTTAAAAGGATTTAATCTATTACAGCTGGATGAAATATAGCTCCAATTTGGTTCCAATATGGTTCCAATATGGTTCAGATACAGTTCCAATATGGTTCAGATACAGTTCCAATATGGTTCCAATATGGTTCCAATATGGTTCCAATACAGTTCCAATATGGTTCCAATATGGTTCAGATACAGTTCCAATATGGTTCCAATATGGTTCCAGATACAGTTCCAATATGGTTCCAATATGGTTCCAATATGGTTCCAATATGGTTCCAATATGGTTCCAATATGGTTCCAATATGGTTCCAATATGGTTCCAATATGGTTCCAATATGGTTCCAATATGGTTCAGATACAGTTCCAATATGGTTCCAATATGGTTCCAATATGGTTCCAATATGGTTCCAATATGGTTCCAATATGGTTCCAATATGGTTCAGATACAGTTCCAATATGGTTCCAATATGGTTCCAATATGGTTCCAATATGGTTCCAATATGGTTCCAATATGGTTCGGATATGGTTCCAATATGGTTCAGATACAGTTCCAATATGGTTCCAATATGGTTCCAATATGGTTCCAATATGGTTCCAATATGGTTCGGATATGGTTCCAATATGGTTCAGATACAGTTCCAATATGGTTCCAATATGGTTCCAATATGGTTCCAATATGGTTCCAATATGGTTCCAATATGGTTCCAATATGGTTTCAATATGGTTCCAATATGGTTCAGATACAGTTCCAATATGGTTCCAATATGGTTCGGATATGGTTCCAATATGGTTCCTCCTTCCCTTTACCTTCTGAACCTAGGTGTTTCCTTTTGAACCTGTTCCACTTGTTTATTATTGAGTTTTATTCACTTGTTACTTAATTTTCCATTCATTTCCATGAATCTAGTTTTTCTTACTTTTTCCCGAAGATTTTCATCCACTGTAGCTGTACTGTAGCTTTACAGTACTATTAAAGGCTCTTTTCTTGGCTACAATTGACTGAATATCTTGAAATCTTTAACTGATAAATGAACGATATTTAGTTAAGCAACTAAAAACTCTAATTTACTCATTTGCTTTAATGATTTGTTTATTTTTTGCTTATTTTTGTTTATTTTTGTTTATATTTCTTTTATCTTACATATTTTATGCATTTCTTTATTTAGAAACAAGATGAGAATTCAATTATTTCTATTATTGATAACTTTTGTTGGATTCATTGCAGCTCACCGACAAAGGGTAGAGTTGAAAATCTAAAATAAACTTTACTTTCCTTTTCCAGCACTCAAAAAGATCGGCCACAATTACTTACAAAACAAAAGAGGTAAGAAGAAAAGGAGAGCGTTTTTAGAGTTTATTTAAAACTTTTCTAGTTTGTGTAATGGAACGATTGACTGGTGTAAAGCACACTTTCTGTCCGACGAGTCGTGTAAGTTTTCACAGAAAATAAAAAGTTTATCTAAAGCAAAGATGTTGATTTAGTACACTGTTATAGATTTTTAAGCTTTGAATGATACTAAATAAAGCTTGACTAGCTTGACTAATCGATCCTGAGAAAACAGCGGCTAAACGACGAATAAACTCGCGTCTTTTCTTTTCATTTCCCCATTTCATTAGTCTAATTAAGTTCTATTTAGCATCATTCAAAAAATTACAATTTGCTAATACCGTATTTTCTCTAATAGTAGTGCACCCTGAGCGTCGCCTAAATTGCTCGAAATCTCGAGAATCGGTTATCAGAACCTATCGATGTGGGATCGGAAAATGTAGCTGACGTTGAGATCTTGCAGGGGATTTGAGTGTTGAGCTTTTGCAAAAGCTTGGAAACCGTAAAATCGTCACCAACTCGGCTCAGCTGGATGCACTATTATCAGCCTAAGTCTAAGCTTGAACTTTGCCTAAATTCCTCGAAATCTCGAGAACCGTTTATCAGAACCTATCGATGTGGGGTCGGAAAATGTAGCTGAAGATGAGATCTAGTGGGGGATTAGAGTGTTGAGCTTCTGCAAAAGCTTGGAAACCGTAAAATAGTCGCCAACCCGGGGTGCGCTACTATTAGAGAAAATACGGTATAACTAAAGACTTAGTCTTTCAAAGATCTTTGTACAATATCTGATTACTCTACTTTTAAAGGCTTACAAGTATTACAGTAGCTTTTCTACTTAGTTTACTGATTGTCAGCCGGCTATAGTATCCAACCATGATTCTGTAAAGTACTAAAGATTATCCTCTTACTAACCTTTACTATTTGCTTTTAAACTTAAAATTGACACAATCTTCATGATCTGGCTTTTAAAATGACTGTAAATATTTGCTTTACTAAGCACATTTCACAAGTTCAGCAAACTTTTAGTACCCAAATTTACAAACACAGAAGATCTCAATTTTTAAATCAAAAGTACTCAAAGTTCTCAAGAACGAATTTCGTTTTCATTCAAGAAAAAAAAACAAAAATCTCTGGGAACTTAAACAGAACTTTGTGAGATTTGGAATTGGTTAATTGGAAAACCAATTAACCAAAATAGACTGTAAAATAGACTGTTTAATAGTGAAAATTATGTGTTTCAGCCTAATGACCCCATTGATTGGCCGTGTATTCGAGTTGATGATCTCTGCAATGGAACTCCGCAATGTCCGGGAGGAGAAGATGAGGATCCTGATCTCTGCATGTTCTTTCAAGCGGTTGGTATATTGATAGAAACATTTTCGGGGTCAAGTCAAGCAAGGATACGACTAAGCCAGAAGCCTGATTTGCCTTGCCTGGCTGACTTTACTGCAAGACTGAGTCAGAAGCCGAACTTGGGTCTAGCTTGGTTTTCAGACTTCAGACTACATTATTGATATACTAAATAGCCAAATGATTCAATGAATCTAGAAAAGAAGAACAGTTTGAAGATTCCTAATCGGCCCCGAATCAGCCCGAATCGGTTCGAATCGGTCCGAATCGAAAGTGTGAAAATGTTCCAAGTCGTCGAGCTCAGATTCATCAATATAGTCTTTTGAGAACACTTTTATACATTTTACACAGCATTATTGATATACTACACAATCAAATGATTCAGTGAATCTCATAGAAAAGAGATGAACAGTTTGAAGAACCCGGATTGGTCCGAATCGGCCCAAATCAGCCCAAATCGGCCCGAATTGGCTCGAATTAGCCCGAATGAAAATGTTCCAAGTCTTCGAGTTCAAATTCATCAATATAGTCTTTTTGAGAAGGCTTTTATTGATATCCTAAACAATTAAATGATTCAATGAATCTAGAGAAGAGTTGAACAGTTTGGAGATTACTTACGGGCCATAGAAATTCTCAGCAAGCAAGGCTGACAAAATATTTTGCCAATGTTAAATCGACAAACTCATCTTCATCTACATCTTTACATTCCTAGCAAGCTCAAGATCAAGAACTAGTTTCTTATTTCTTTTCCTTGCAAAATTTTACCCATCACAATCAAACTTCATCTCATTTCAGCAAAACGTCGCTTTTCAACAGATGAAGCGAAAAGTGGTCACTATGTTGAAGCCATATATGGAAACAAAGACAAAAACAAAAAGTGATCAAGAATTTATCAAAATCTAAATAACTTTCCATTCGCATGAATAGTACAAATTTCTCTCTCAATAAAGAATTCCGACTTTTTTCTTTTTAAAACAACATTTGATTCAAAATTGGATACATAAAATCAACAGTGTCAACAAATTTTATTTTATTAAACATTTACCGTATTTTCTCTAATAGTAGTGCACCCTGAGCGTCGCCTAAATTCCTCGAAATCTCGAGAACCGCTTATCAGTACCTATTGATGTGGGGTCGGAAAATGTAGCTGACGATGAGATCTAGTGGGGGATTAGAGTGTTGAGCTTCTGCAAAAGCTCGGAAACCGTAAAATAGTCATCAACTCGGCTCAGCTGGATGCACTATTATCAGCCTAAGTCTAAGCTTGAGCTTTGCCTAAATTCCTCGAAATCTCGAGAACCGCTTATCAGAACCTATCGATGTGGGGTTAAACATTTAATTAAACATTTAATCTGAGAACTAATCACTAGTCTTTTTGTTTTCTGAAAGATTACTGAAAGAAATAACTTTTCACCTGAGTAACCCAAATTCTAATAAAAAAAAATGGGTAGGTGGAGGATATTTTAAAGTTTTCAAGGGTATTCAAGGGGTTTAGTAGTTCCATTTTGTGAGTTGAGTGAGTGCTTTTCTGGATTGACTTATGGGGAATGAGTGGCATCATCATCAAACAGAAAACTCATTTCTGGAGAAGACAAGTTGATGAAAAGGGAAAGAACCTTAAAATGGAAATCTCTCTTTCACACAAAAGAGCCTCTTTGGCCAAAATTAGCCGAATTTTGCTCCCTACACTCTCAATCAAAGGAAAATCCTTGATTTTCAAACAATATTTTCAGAATATTTCTTTTACTTTTCTATTTGAAAGTTTAAGAGTCCAGTACTCAAAAGTTAACTTGTGAACAGCCGGATATTTCCTTTTCTTTCTTCCTTTCTCTTCCACCTTGTATTTCCTCTTTCTTATTCGACAAAAAGATACCAAATATTGGGTTGGTGAATTGAAAACTGCTGGCTATTGTCATATGTGACAGTTTGAGCACTTTCTTCAAAAGAAACCCATTTTCGTGTCAATGGAAAAGTTGTAGAGAATCAAAAAATCAAGCTTATATCCAAATTTTCAGAACGATTCAAAAACTGGTTTTTAAGAAATGCGAAATTTACGAATTTTCACAAAACTTGTATTTTAAGCAAAACTACTCGTGTATCTTTTTGGAAATTTGGCTATAAGCCTCATTTTTGATTCTCTACAACTTTTCTATTGACACCAAAATGGGTTTCTTTTAAAGAAAGTGCTCAAACTGGGAAATCTCCATTTTTGAGTCTCACACTTGTCTCACACACAAACCAAAATCCTACTACGAAAGAGGAATCCGCAAATTGCCTGTAAAATGGGCAGAAGTCGTCAATAATAATGGAAATTATTTGGAATGAATTTATGCCTTTGTGTTGAATAAATTTTAGTCCAAAGTCCGGCAGTTTTCAATTCACCAACCCAATAGTTCAGTGGTTAAAGCGTCTACCCAGAAAACATAAAGGTCAAGAATTCAATCCTCTTTCCGAAAATCTTACTTTATCATTCATTACTTTACTTTATTATAGCTTGTAAATGTCAATGAGATCGCTTTGGAATTAAAATTGAAATATCCGACTTTCGAATAACTTGAATCGAACACCGAAAATTAGGCTTTAATAAATTAGATGTATACAACTTGGGAAGTGAAACTGGTTGATAAATCTCTTAGAACAAATCTATGATCTAATGATCGAATGTTTCAAATGTTAATTCCAATCTGAGATCTTTGTTTTGATAGGAAATGAAAAGAGATTTGATGAAACTCGATTCTCTAGCTTCTCATTTTCAGCTCCCACACTTCTTTCACCACTTTTTCTAATAAAAACCCTTAAGTTTTAATCTGCTTTTCTCAAAAACTTGATCAAAAATAGTTTACTGCATTTTATTTAGTCTCTTTTTATTAAAAAACTTACTAGATTGATCAAATTTAGATGTTTATTCGTAAAGGAATTTAAAATACATTTTTCTGAGCAGTTCTTTGTTTCTTTTTTTAAATTCAAAGCTATTCATCTTAATTCTAAAATTTTGACAATAGTTTCTGACTCTAAAGCTGCTTTAAAGTCATATTGCTTTTAGTAGAAAAACTAGAAAAACTTGTATTGCTTTGTGGGACTTTGAAAGTGTCTAATTTTAAATCTGTTACAGTAGAACAGTACAGAATAGAACACTAGTTATTGATACGATAGTTATTGAAAGAACTACGATAAGTGTCTAAGTCTATGGTAAAGATCAAGATGTTTACTGGATTTACATCCCCGATTGACCTTTCCCTTTCAAAGGTTTCCTCCAAATGAAATCTGAAACCATCGACCACCCACTAACCTTTTCCCCTTCATTTTTTCCCCATTTTGTCGTCATCAAACTTTTTGATCTTATTTACGCAAAAGCCGATTATTTATAAACACATTTAGCTTTAGATGACGCTTTTTTTCAAGAGCTTAAAGAGCTTTTCAAGAGCTTTCCTTCAAAAGTCAACTTTTTCCTATGCTATTTTCAGAGTTTTTATTATTTTTTTTGTTCAACAACAAGTACTAATTTTATTTTTTGTACACTCTAGCGTCATAATTCGGTTTAGCGAATAGTTTTGTTCGCTAATCGTTTTTGTTTAGAGATTAACGAAATTACTGACAAAATGTACAATGTAAAATGTGCAGAAAATTGTGGATTTGTATGTATTGAGATCATTTTTTTTATTTATAAAGAAATTTTTAACTGATTTTCTTCTATGTGGAGTAGAAGGTTGATCCTTAAAGCCTAGCGATAAGTTTTTGATGATTTTAGACAAAGTGTGACTAATAGTAAGCTATGATTTACAAATTGCAAATCAGAGAGCTGTGGAAATCAGCGAATATAGCAGGAAATTCATCAGTTGATTTGTTTCTGCATTTCTGATATGCAAAGCATCAAATAATACTAAGATGGATGAAAAGGGGACTCAAAGGGAATTGAACCTTCGATCTTCTTGCTTCTAGACAAACGCTCAACCACTGAGTCACAGTCGCTTTGTTTGCTGAAGAGGCAGGGAAGAGAATTTTTAGCTGATTTTCTTTTATGTGGAGTCGAAGGTTGATCCTTAAAGCCTAGCGATAAGTTTTTGATGATTTTAGACAAAGTGTGACTAATAGTAAGCTATATAAACTTTATCATTAAGCCAATAGCTATTCTTACTATTAGAATTATGCTTCTTATTACATTATTAGACTTATTAGATTTATTAGACTTATTAGAACTACAGCTTAGGTTGGAAAGAAGAAAAGTATTTTGGTTATTGATAAGATTTTCTTGGGCTCTGTAAACTGGTCTAAACTTTCTAGATTGTATTAGCGAGTAAGGGGATAAGATACAGTGGGATAAGGGATAAGGATAAGGTATAGTAAAGGGATAAGGTATAGTAAAGGGATAAGGTACAGTGGGATAAGGGATAAGGATAAGGTATAGTAAAGGGATAAGGTACAGTGGTCCACAAAAGTATTGTCCCATTGCCATCCAAAATTTTCTTTCGTACGAAAATCTTGCAAAAAAAAAACGATATTCCCGAAAAGTATAGGGTTTTTTGCTTACCCATAATACTCTACTTTTCAAGATTATAAGATTTATCCGTATAAATTGCATAAAAATCTGAAAGATATCAATAATATATCTGTATCTCTGAATGATATCAATTCTTAGATTATTGAAAAGAAAGTTCTCGGAAAAAGTTTCACTTGAATTTCTTAAAAACGAATCCACCAATTCGAGAACATTTTCTATTATTTACAAGTTGACTCCAAGAAATTACTCGTAAAAAAATGAGTTCCCTTAAAATTTTAGAGATCTTTGAAAAGGTATTATTTTCCAGCTTAAATTCAGCTTACTTTTTTGCACCAGAAAAACGATTTCTTATGAGGCAAAGCTAACATGAACATAGCTAACATGAACAATACGCTCTATAATCTCTATTTTTAGCCTAAAATTTTTCACAGAGAAGCTGTATTTTAAAAAAAATCATTTTTTTGATGTCATCTTCTTGACACTTTGCTTAAATAGGTGATTCTGAACAGTTAAAGCATTAGATAAAATTTGCCTTTATCACAAATTAATTTTCCCTAATTTAAAGTAGTTGATTTTAGGTTTGTGAATGGGATCCATTGCCTACTCATTAACCCATTAAAAACTTGTCCCATTAAAAAAGAAAGGAGACGGGAGAAGAGAGCACGAACTCAGCTTTCTAATGGTATATAACATTACAAGGTACAGAGCATACTTTATTGAGAAAAATAGACACAAATCATAAGCAATACAAAACGCTCATTTATTTCCGGACAACCTAATATTTTCCAGCTTAAATTCAGCTTACTTTTTTGCACCAGAAAAACGATTCCTTATGATGTAAAGCTAGCAGAAATGAGCAATACTCTCAATTTTTTTTAAAATTTTTGCAGAGAAGCTTTCAAAAAATCATTTTTTCGTGTCATCTTCTTGACACTTGAGTGTTTACTAAAATAGGTGATTCTGAAAAGCTAAAGCATTAAATAAAGTTTGCCTTAATCACAAATTTTCTCTATTTTAAAGTACTTGATTTTAGGTTTGTAAATGGGATCCATTGCCTATTCATTAAGCCATTAAAAACTTGTCTAAAGGCTGGTCACTCAAAAAGTAATCAAGTCACTTCAGCTGAAGAAATCTCTTATTTTTCTGTCAAAAACTTTTTGAAATATAGTCAAGTTTATCAAAAAATCTGGAAGGAATTGATGGCTTGGTTTTTGAGAAATCACTGTGCAAACGTTTTCTACGAACTTTCTTGCCAACCTAATAGTTAATCCAAAGCTTTCTGAGCTGCCTGGTAGACATAGATACAGTTTCTCTTATTTTGAACAGTTCTTTTGAACGTTTGCAGTGTTTGACTCCTGCTAACAGCCTACCCAGTACCAAATAACGAATTCATAGCTTGGTT